TGTGCCTTTGGGTGACACCACCGCTTCCCATCCCCACTTTTGCACTGCCAGACACCAAAAGCGGTGCCACGGGGCTGGGAAGGAGCTGCTCTGCACACAGCACACGCAGACGGACGCGGGTTCTGTCCGGTTTCCATCCATCCTGAGCTCCCGTGCAGGGCTTGTGTGTCACATCTGGGGGTGCCAGCACCCCCCCGGCGCACCCAGTGCTCGCAGCAGATGCTCAGCTGCAGGATGAATGGCCCTCCCCACCCCAGGCCCTGCTCTGCAGCTCCCGTTCCGGAGCCTGGATCCGGCCACGCAGGCTGAATAAGGCTCTGCCTTTGTCCGGCTCCCCCCGTCGCGCTTCCCCTTATCTACCCGGCCGCCTTGCCAAGACCACGAGGCTGTGAGCAGGGAGAGGCCGTGCGGCATCTCCCGGGGCTGTTAACTCTTCTCTGCTCTGCGCACGTTCTCCCAGCCCCATCCCACAGCCATCCCCGCTCCTCCTCACCCCTGCATCCCAGCCGCCCCGCTGCGTGCCGCCCCGTGCACCCCTCCCATCTCCCTGGCACCCGGGGGGGGGTTGGGGGTGGGCGCGGGGCCCACGGGTGTCCCCGGGGCAGAGCACAGCCCGGCGATGTGCTGCACTGCTGCGCGCAGCAATTAACCTCGGGAGAGCAGCGCGGCCGCTGCCAAGAACCACATTAGGTGTGTGTGGCAGTGTCTAGACATGCAAGAGACCAGAGGCCTTGATCTGGAGGAAGGCGGCTCGGTCCCTTCCCCCCTCCCCACCCCCCCTCTTCCTACCCCCCCCCTCCCGGCCTTGGCACGGGGTTCAGCCGCCCCAGCACTGCTCTTCCCAGCAGGGTTGGCCGGGTGTGGGATGCTCAGCGCGAGGCCGAGCCCTGCCCCACATCCCAGCACACCAGGGGGCTCTGGAAGCATCACGGTGCCGTTTGGCACAGCAAGGCCACAGTGCCACACAATGGGTGCCCCGACACCACACCGCCAGGGCGGGCAGTGAGAACGGAAGGGAGAAAAGCAGCAGCCAGCTGCACCCAACCCACCTCCCAGACAACAGCAACCATCTCAACCATCCCAACCATCCCAACCATCCCGGGGGAGCCAGCAGCAAGCCCCCAGGGCCAGGGATGGAGCTGGGCAGGGTCCCCACTCACCACCTCCCCATATCCGTACCCACGGTGCTCGGCTGCACCACACAGCCTGGCGCTGCCCGTCCCCTCCTGCCACGCAGTGCTGGGCTGTGGCCTCGTGGGTGCTGCAGGGACAGGTGGGTGCTATGGGGATGGGGTGGGTGCTCCCCCGGCACCCCCTGCTCTCACCTCTACCCCAGCCGGCTGCGGAATGCTTCGGGAGAAGAGATTTTCCCGACGTTAATTAATTAAAATAAACAGCAAATTAAATACAGCAAAATTAAAATAGCTCCGGAAATTAATTTTCAACAAAACCCACCTGGAAAGGCTGGATATTTAAAGAATTAATGGAGCCCTCCGAGACCATAAAGAACCGCCGAACTCCCGGCATCCACCAGCCCCCCTCCGACACCCCCGGGGGGCGCGGGGCCGTGGGGAAATGAGGACGGGACCCCCGGTCGGAGCCCACCCCGCACCCACACGCCTTGTCTCCGCGCCGCCGCGTGGCCCTGCTGGTGGCTGCACGTGGCTGCGGTGCGAGAGCGAAGGGAGGAGGGAGGAGGAGAGGCTGAGCTCGCAGCTCTGCTCCTCCTGCTGTGCGCTGCGCGGCACCACGCGCTCCGGCTCGCACCCTGGCAAAATCACCGCCTCCAAAAACCCCACTGCTCACCCCACGTTTCATCCCCACGAACGCGGCTGGATGAATGGGCGGCAGGGCTGGGCAAAGCTCCTCATGCAGGGGTGCGAAGGGCCGGGACCCCCCCCAACCCCCCACAGCTGCACCGCGCAGGGCTGGGAGCCCCCCCGGCCTCCCTGGTGCCGTTTCCTCTCCCCGCACGCTGGGTGTGTGCGCCGGGAAACACCGGTGAGCAAAAAAGCTCCGGAAGGAAACAGAGAAAGCGAGAAGAAGCGTGCAGGTGGGGAGCAGGAGAGCTCGGGGCCGCCCCCAGCCCGGGGGGGGTTGGGAGCACTGCCTGCAAACCGCACGCGTCTCCCAGCCGCTCCCCCCGTGGGGGGAAACTGAGGCACGCGGGGGGCGGCTCTGCACCCCCGCCCTCTCCAGCGCTGCGGCCGGGATGACACCAGCTCCTCCAGCTCCTCCCGCTCCACCCTGTTCCTGCAGGAACCCACGAGCCCCAGAGCCGGGCGCACCGCCAGCACCGCCGCTCCCACCCGCACACGGCACTGCGATCGGCTCCGGCCTCGCACCGCACCGCGTCCCGCAGCGGGGCACCGCGACCTCGGCCCCGCGCCCTGGCAGGTTTCCCCTTCGCTTGCCAGCGATGCCAACGGGCAGAGGTGGAGGACGATGGAAGCAGAGGGCGAAGGAAAGCGGTGCGCGGGGGAAGGGGTGATTATTTGTTCCCCCGTTTATTTGCTCGCTGCAGACAAAGGTGGCTCTGCGTGCCGGCCGGGAGGGCGCGGGACGCCGGTGGGGCAGCCGCTCCGGGGCTCTGGGTGGCCGCTTCCTCCGCACACAGATGGCTGTTTCGACTCAGTCGAGCGCTTGACCTAAATCTCCTCCTGATCCACGGGAGCTGCAGTCCCTCAGCAGCACAGCTCAAGGCGAGGAGGAGGAGGAGGAGGAGGAGGAGGAAGGGAGCCAGCTGCAGACCGGCGGGAGGGTCACGCCGTGGGGTCCCCACCCCGGGGCTGGCGGAGGGTGGAAATCTCCACCATCTCCGACCGATCTCCGATATCTCCCCAAATCTCCGAAACCTCGGAAATCTCCGAAATCTCCCACGCTTTCAGCCCCGGCTCCCACTTTCCGCGCCTGCGCGCCCGGCCCCGCAGCTTCGACGCCCCGGCAGCCCACTTCCTCGCCCAGGGGCCTCGCAGAGGAAGCTCCAACGGTTCCGAAAGTTTTCGGCTGTGACTCAGCCGCTGGCTGGGGTGGCCGAGGTTGGCCCCGACGTGGGGCCGCGGGACCCCGGCGGTTCGGGGGGATTTTTGGGCTCCCCAGACGAGGGCTGTCTGCACCGCGCCGCGCTCCACCCCCAGTGTCAGAGCAGCCCAAACCGGCTCCCAGCGACAGCAGAAAGCTTTTAAAATCCCCTACGCGCGGCATGACTCACTCCAAAGCCAGTGCCCAAAACAAGCTCCGACACGGAGAGGAATGGAGACGGCAGAGATGTTGGGGGCGGGCAGGAGGGGCTGGGGAGGGCCGGGGAGGGGGAAAAGGGGGAGAGAGGGAGACAGAAGGAGGCAGAGAAAGAGAAGAGGCAGAAATAACAGCATCTGAAACTCTGCCTGCTGGAGGCTAATTGGTTCCGGCACAGCCTGGTTTGTTTGGCAATGTTTCCTCTAATCCTTCAGGCTCCGCGCTCCCAGCCCCAGAGACGCGGGGACATCGCTCCGCCCGGCACCGACACCCGGGCAGCGCCGCTGCGGCACTGGGGGCCGCCTACCCCCCCCAGTAGCGGCGGTGCCCCCCGGGGGTCTCCAACCGGGGGCTGCGAGCACCAGCCACGGGGACGGCGCGTACCCCTCGGTGGGAGGATGCTCGGAGGCAGCGGCCGGGGCGGCGGAGGGAAAGGGAAGGGAAGGAAGGGAAGGGGAAGAAAGGGGGGGCCCCACGGCCCAGCATGGCCGAGCCAGAGCACTCGCCAAGAGTCGGCAGCTTTGTTCCAGGTGCCGGCTCCCTTTTTTTCATTAGGCTAATGGGATGCGGATGCATTATTCCATTCCACATGCTGCTAATGAACCACTCAGGCCAGTGCATTTGCATTAATGTGCAAAGCACTGGAGGAGGGTGGAGTGGCTGCATCTGGCCAAGCCTGACCTTCCCGCGCCGCCCAGCCTTCCCGACGCGCGGCCCCGCAGCCCCCGAGAGCCGCGCGCTCCCGCAGCCCCGCACGGACCCTTGATCTCCCCGGGGCGGCTCCGGCGCACATTCCAAGACACATTAACCAGCCCCAACCTTCGGTGGCCCCGCCGTTGTTGGGCCTGCTGGGCTCCATCACCCCTCCCTGCACAAACGCAGGCCGGGCTCTGGTGCCCCGCGTGCTGGGAACTGTGACGGCGCTGCCGAGCACGGCGCTGCTCCCCTAGGAGTCACCGCGTCCTGCAAGGAGCTGCCCCTTCCCTGACCGCGAGCCCCAGCACCGCAGGACTGTGGCAGGACCTCCCCGGTCCGCTCTGTTGGGTGAGAGGAGAAGGGGGGCTGCCCCCCTCCCGGGTCCCCCCGATGCTGGCACTCGGTGCTGGGCGCGGGCGTCATCGGAGCCCTTCGGTTGTTTGTTACAGCTCCCAACTGCCTCCGTCCCCGGAGAGGTTTCGAAGGCGAGTGACCCAAGAACTGGAATGTGCAGAGCCTCCAGCAAACAGAGCCAGCTGCCTGCGCCCGCGCAGGGGGGGCGGTGAGGGGAGAGCAGCCGGCCCCGCGGCACGGCACGGCACGGCACGGCACGGCACGGCACGGCACCACGTGGCACAGCATGGCACGGCGCTGCGTGGCACCACATGGCAAAGCGTGGCACGGCGCGGAATGGCACGGCACGGGGTGGCACGGCACGGTTCTGCATGGCATGGCACAGCACAATGCACTGTGGCACAGCGCAGCGGTGCGTGGCGTGGTGCCGCATGGCACAGCACAGCCCCGTGCACATGGCCCCAGCCTGCTCTCCCAGGGCTGACTGGATTGAAATGAGGTTGGCACATCCCCAGCTCTGGCAAGAGGCCTCACTCTGCCCCTCAAACCGCTTGAGCTCCCCTTTCCTCTCTCCCGCCTGCTCTCCATCTGATTTCTGGAGGCATCCTGGCATAGAGACACGTGCAGGTAGGATGCTGTGCTCCCCACCTGGCTCCAGGCCTGAATCCCTGGGTGGCCAAAGGACAAACAGACTCACCCCAGGTGCCAAGAGGGAGGGAGGACGGGCGCAGCCCTGCTGCCCTCTGGGTTTGCAGGAGGTGTGGTGGGGTCTCAGGCAGCTCCGTGCCCGCCAGCATGCAGAGCCCCAGCGCCCGAGCGCGTGCACGCGGATGTCTGGGTTTGTCACAGCCTGGTGAGCAAGTTAATCTCAGGCTCCCTGACACGTGGAATAAAATCGCGATCCCATAATGGAATTCATTCGTCTTCCTGTCCAGGCAGAGAACAAGCCCCCTGCCGGAGCCAGGGCGCGGGAGCCAGGGCCGGGCACTCACTGGGGGACCCCGCTGCCCTGCTGGGAACCACAGGTGTGTGCGAGTTCCTGTGGGGCACGTAAAGCACCCAGCAGTGCTGCGTCCCCTCCTGGGGCGCTGCTGGGGTTGGCAGTGTGGGTCCGCTGGGCTGGACCTGCAGCGTGCGTAAATGGGAAGGGAAACTGAGGCAAGAGGTGGTGCAGGGCTGAGGGCAAGGCTGGTGGCAGGGCGAGGATGTGGGACAACGTCCCTGCGTCTCTCACCTTTGACAGCATCAGAGCAGCCAGCCCCAGCCACGGGGACCCCACTGGGTCGGCACCAGCTGGGACACTGGTGCCATGATGCCTTGGCAAGGCCACACGGCCCTGGAGGCTGAGTCACGCACTGCATTTTCCCCCTCTTGTTGCCACACTTACTAGCAATGGATAAAAGCCCTTTTGGGAAGCTGAGCAGAGGAGGAGGCCGCAGGACAGCTTGGCTGCTCGGTGTCTCAGTTTCCCTGCAGCACCCAGGGTGTCCCCTGCCCACGGGGTGGGGGTGCCAGCAGCGGGCAGCACAGGGGCAGCTCCCACCACCCCCTCTGAAATCCCAACTCGGCAATGCCGAAGGTTCACCCACGCTCCTGCAACGTGGAGAGGAGGAGAAGGAGGAAGAGGAGGAGGAGGAGGGCTGCTCCTTCCTGGGCACACAAAGCCCCTTTCATAGGGAGTTGAGTTTGGGTTTCCTCCACCAGCCCGGCACCTCGCTGCCTCCTGCCCTGCCAGCACGGTGAGGCGGGGAGGAACGCTGCGGTGGGAGCGGGACGGGCGCCCAGTCCTGGCCTGGCCTTTGGGATGTGAGCGGGGCAGCACCGGGCACCGCGCACCCACCTCCCCAGTGCACTTCCGGATCCTACGGGCAGGCAGCCCCCAGGGCTATAGGGGGATTGGGTGGCCCCTTCCATCACCCTGGCCCTCCCCATAATTTTTCCCTCCTGTCGGCTTTTAATTACGCCCCTAATAAAAGTGGCTTGCAGGAAAACGGGAGCTTTGTTGCTCAGGAGCTCATCTGCTCCCGCTGCTCCTTCCCCGCTTTAAACCGTAATCCTCAGCTGGGGATGCTGCAATTAGCCACTGCGGGGCCGGGCGCCGTGTCATGCAGGATTAGGGCTCCCTTCGGTGGGGAGGTGGGGGACCCAGCCCCAGTGGGGCGATGGGCCTGGACGGGATGGGCTGAACTCCCCACAGCCCCCAAAGCAGCTGGGACCCGCAGCCCCACTAACGGCCCTGCAGGAAGAGCAGGTTTGGCAGGAGATTAGAGCAGCTGTGGGGGGGGAGGAGTGGGGGGAAGAGATGCTCTCTTACAGCCTCAGGGCCCCCCCTTGGCAATGCAGCCCCCTGCGGCACTCGCTGATCTGCCCCCATCACTGCACCAATGCCAACGCCGGGGGGGAATTTTTGGGGCATCAGCAGGAGAGGCGCAGCTCCCCAACCCTCCAGGCCTCCAGAAACAGGCAGGCTCATGGAGGTTCGTACAATACGTAAAAACAGGGCTCCTGATGTCCCCGCGTCCACATCCAGCCCCAGCGCCTGCCCCCAGGGCCTGGGGAGGGAAACTGAGGCACGGGGACCAAGTTCTCGCAATGCAACGGCCCGCTGAGCAAGGAGAGAGGTGGAACTGCCACAATGGCACACTTGGGAGATGGCAACAGCCCCATCCCTAGGCAGGAGGGTGGCACTTGGAAGGGGTGCAACACCTCCCAGGGTAAAAGTCCTACAGCACTGTGCTCAAACCCAGCAGAAGGGACGGGGACCACGGGGCCCTCGTGCACAGTGCCAATGCGCATAGGGAAGGAGCAGCGGGTTGGGTCGTTCAGCCCCACAGAGCCCCCAAAAGAGCCTGCGCACAGCTCCCCAGTGCCTGCTCACCAATCAGCCTCTTCCCACGGCTGAGGAGGAGAGCGGGGAGCGCAGGCGCTCGTTAGCGGCCGCTCATTAAGAGCCCTCTGGGAGGACCGAGGTACCCGGGGCACCTGCACCTCCTTCTAATGAGCTGCAGCACCGGCACAGGGCCCTCGGCTGCGGCATCACGGGGCCACGACGCGGGGGCCGTCCCCTATCTGAGCTGCACTGTGGGTTCCCCGTGGCCGAGCAGAAAGGGAGGGACGCGGGAGTTGAGTCACAGTGACAACTGCAGCGGTGGCAGCTGCTGAGGAACGCCCTGAGCTCACTGCCAGCACCGGGCGGCTCCTGGGGACACGCAACTGCCAAAGCGTCACCCCGCACCCATGGGTGCTGTGCTGCAGAGACACTGACGACAGCACGGTGATGTCCGCCCCCTGTGTGGGATCCTGGGGTCCGGTCCATGCAGCGGGTGTCCCCAGACTGGGACAGAACACAGATGTCCCACCCTCGGGGACCTTAAAGCACCATGCAGCGCAGGGGGAGGGCAGCTCAGGGACCAAAGGACACAGCACTGGGGTGGCACCGAGCCCCAACCCCGCTCACGCAGCCCCCAGCCCCGACCTGCACAGGGCTCCCTCGTTAATGTTTACTCGGCTTCGTTAGCGCCAGCACATCACCATGGCAACCATGCAAGCTGCGCGCCGCCATCGGCGCCACCGCCACGAGGCGCAGGAATGGCACGTGGGGTCACCACGGACCCCCATCACAGCCACCACCCCACCGTGCCATATGGGGCCGGGGGGGGCGAGGGGGTGAGGGGACGTTGGGGGTCACCTTCTCCCTGCTGGGTGCGGTGGCCTGGTGTCACCCAGCCGTGGTGACAGCACCCAAAATGCCCGGCGCTGCGGGCTGCTCGGCTGCAGGCGTGTGTGCAGCGCTGCCAACACGCCTCTGCGGTGCATTATTTATAAAACACGGGAGCAGAGGGCTCAGCAGCAGCTGCCACCCTGCCTGGCGTCACGGAGCCATCGAGCACGGCGGCCTGGTGGCACTGCGGCCCCGGTGACCAGCAGGGACAACGGGGATGACAGTGCCTGTGGGGCTGGCAGAGCCACGGGGTGACCAGATGCCACCTTCATGCGCAGCACGTGGCTGCTGCGGCACGTGGGGACATCCAGCGCGTCCCCACATCCCCCACGTTATTACTGCAGCACCCCGAGCTGTCGGGCGAACCCACTGCACGCAGCTCTGGGTCCAGCCAAGGGGTGCCCCCACCCCGTGCCCAGCCAGCCCTGCGTAGCCCCACGCAGCCCCCCCAGAGCAGGATGCGACCCCCAGCCTCCTGCTCGTGCCATCGAGCTCCGTCTGCTACTGCAAACAGGTTTTCAGTAAGCCTAGCAGAATTCGCCTGCCTCCTCCTCCCCCCTTCCAGTCCCACCTCTGGGCTGCGGGAAGGCTGAGTTCGGGCTTTAATTTTTCATTATTAATTTCCCATCGACGCCGAGAGGCGCCGGTGCTCGCCCAGCTGCCCCCAGCATCGCCCCCCGCGCTCCCTCGCGCTCTCCTGGAGATCTGCACCGGCTGAAGGCGAGCCAGGCTGCCGATAGGATTAATTCTGCATGACTGCCCATCTCCACAGGGGTATCTAAGACCCTCAGGCCTGCAGCAATCTTTAAAATTCCTCCAGCCCAACTTAATTCCCTCTTCCTGCAGAGCTGGCGCATCTGCTGCAGTCAGACACAGAGCGAGGGAGATGGAGGGAGAGGGGAGACGGCACCCAGGATGTGCTGGCACTGCTCTGTGGCTGCGTCCCTGTCCCCAAGGACGCCCCTCGGGGCCACCCAAAGCCACACCGGCCACCCATCACCAGAGAAGGTTTGCATTGGGAATGAGGGAAACTGAGTTACGCTCCGCATAGCCATGGGCTCTGCACCGTGGCCCTGATTGCTGTCACCTTTGACACAGTGCCTGGACCCCATCACCGGGAGGTTGACCTAAATTTATTTTTTTTTTCCAAATATTTGTGGTTCTGCTTTGATGGAAGAGGCTTCTTCACCACCCCTTTTCACTCATCCTCTGCTTCCCTGCAGCCCTGAAGAATGGAATGCGGGATCTGAGCATCGCCTGGGGGCAATCCAGGGCCACGGATGTTGGGACAGCTCATGCAATGCAGCTGCGGTGGGAAAACACACCGTGGAGGTGCTGAGCACACCCCAGCCACCCCTGCTGCATCCCTGGTGCTCCCCAGCATCCCCTCCATGCACGGGCAGAACCCAGGGGCTGTGAGGATGAGCCCCACCATAGGGCACGGAGCTGGGACTTGGCCCCGCTGTCACACTGGAGCTATCCCACTGTCAACCTTGTGTCCCCAGCTGAGGCTCTCATGGGACAAAGACCTCAACATCACGCATGGGGACTATGCGCAGCCCAACCATACGCTGCAGGACCCTGCGCTCACACGAAACATCCTTGAACACAACCAGGCTGCAGCGTCCCCCCCAGTTCCCCGCCACGCTCCGCGACAGCCACGTGTCCTCAAGCTTTGAAGGCTCAGCCTCCACCACCACAGGGGTTCAGTCAACCTGTAGGGGTTGGTGGGGGGGAGTCTGCTGCCAAACTCCCACCCCTGCCTCTGTCAGCATCAGAGCCGCCATCCTCCTCCCCTTCCTCCTCCTCCTCCTCATCTGCAGCGACTGCCACCAAACCCAGGAGACCCATCCCTCTGCCTCCTTCCCTGCAACTTGCACCATTTGCCTGGCAGCCAGGAGGAAGGAGGGGAGCGCAGCCCATCCCAGCTGCTAGCGGAGCTGGGGATACATGCATTTAAATCACTTATATCTTTACTTTCTCCTGCGCTGGCTGTGAGATGGGCTTTTTTTGCATGCGTAATTAGGGGGTGGAACAGATGGTGGAGGGTTCGTTTAAAGTAATGCATCCATTAAAATAACCTTCGCTGTCGGGGACTGCGCTCCGACAGGGGCCTGTTTCACCGGGGGCGGTGGGGAGGGAGAGCTTTGTTCTGTAGGAAGGGGTCAGATTTTTGGGAAGGTGGATGGGGACCCAACTGCAGGATCCATCATCCTGGCTCATGGGAGTGAAGCTGGCATGGATGCTCCAACCCATATTACCAGCACAGTAACTGGGAGCCTGGACCAAGCCGGGACTGGAGTGGGGAAAAATAACTCCTCTGTGGGGCTGAAGTGGTTCATTCTGGACCCCTCCAGGACTCGGTTTCCATAGCAATATGACGTGCATCCTGCAGTGGGATGGAGGGAATGGGAAACCCTTTGGCCAGTCCTTCGGGCCAGACCTCCAACCATCACCCAGTGGTGCATTTTGGAGGAGGCCTCTGAAACAGAGGGGCTTTGCTGCTTGGTGGAGCATTGGGGTGATGCTGCAGGGTGGCACAGGGACTGCAAGGATCGTGCCCACCACCATCCACCCACGTCCCACCTCCTGCCTCCTGGCACAGAACAGAAGGGGACAGCTCGCCTTTCCTGTCCAGCAGCAACCACCTCTCCTGTTTCAAGCTCCCGGGAGAGGCAGGAGGCTTTGTTCAGGAATTGGAGGAGCGGAGGCCAGAGAAAGCGCGAGTGCCCTGCCAGCTCTTGTGTTTCACTCCCGAGGAATGCCGGGGAGGGGAGGGGAGCACAGCTTTCCCCCTTCCCGATGGGCTCTGGGCCTGGCTGCAGGGTGCTTTGCTGCTGCAGGGAGGAAGAGGAGGGTGTGGGGACGAAGAACGGGGGTCTGGCTGTGATTCTGGGGAGGTGGGCGGCATCAGCGTGGCTCACAGTGGTTGCAAAGGCAATCATGGTGGCACAGCAGTACCATGCTGGTTTTGTTGGAGCAGATGTAATAATTCAGAGCGAGAGCTGCCAAGCAAATATCACATCCTGCCTTGAAGCAGGAGACATTTGGGTACCCCAAATCCGTAGGCTCCAGAGGAGCACACACCACTCCCAGCAACACGGTCACGGCTGGGGAAGGGCAAGAGCAGCAGCAAACCCAAACCCACCCATGCGTGTTCAAATATTTAGTGTGCACTTGCTAAGGTGCTTCTGCTGCCTTTAGGGCATCTCTGCGTTTGAAGCATCAGAGAGGAGCTGAGGTGGGAACATGGGGGATGGGGAGCAAATGCCAGGGCTGCAGGGCTGGAGGGTGTTCTCTCCTTCCCAGCTGGGCCCAGGGGGACCACATGGCCTGGGTTGCTCCTCACCAAGGGGCTTGCAAGGACTCAGTCAAGCCCAAGGACTGCCCATCACGGCCACAGCCCCCCACCGCACACCTCCTCATTTTCCTCCTCCTCCTCATCTTCCAGTCCCAGCACTTGAAGCACCCTGGGCCATCCCCAAGCACTGCCATGGCCTGGGGTACAGCCAGCAGCCGCAGCAACACAGGGACTGATGCCAGCAGCCAGCAGCTCTGTGTGACCACTGCAATGCAATAAGGGCAGCAATGGCGGGGCTGGCTGAGGTGACATGGGACAGCAGCGTGCTGGGGAAACTAACAGGCAAGAGGGGCTACACAGACAGGTCAGCTCACCCTGCTGCCATCCCTTTCACTCACCCCTTTCCTCATCCAGCTTCACTTGCTATTACCTCCCAGCACTCACCCACTGCCCTGGCCAGGCCTCAACTAGGCCTCATCCAGGCCTTGACCGCACCTCAACCAGGCCTTGACCAGGCTTTGACTGACCTCAACTAGGCCTCATCCAGGCCTCAACAAGGCCTTGAGCACACCTCAACTAGGCTTCAACCAGGTTCTAACCAGGCCTTGACCAGACATTGACCACGCCTCAACCAGGCCCCAAATGCCACAACCAGACCCTGACAGGCCTTGACCAGGCCTTGAACACACCTCAACCAGGCCTTGAAAGCCTCAACTGGGCCCCGACCAGGCCCCAAACACCCTGACCAGGCCCTGACACCACAACAACTATCCCACAAGTACCCCCTTCCCTCCCCACCAACTCCCCAAGCTCTGTGCTGAGGGCAACAGCTCTGGGAGGGGCACAGTTGGCCCATGACAACAATGGTGCCCTGTGTCAGCCCCGCACCCACAGCCAGGCAGCAGCCATCACCTCAGGGCACGCCGCTGGCCGCTCTCACCTCTACACTCCGCTCACTGCTTCCCAGCTCCCTCCTGACAAATCCCAGCTCCTGATCGCTTCTCCTCCCCACGGGTCCATATTAAGCTACATTCTCCTTTCAGCTGGGTGGAAAACAGCAGTAATAACCATGTGGAGAGAGCCGTGCCCCCCACCTCCACTTCCCTCCCACTTCGGGGTTCAAATTTCATTTCAGCAAAAAAGCTTCCCCCGCCTCCAATTTCTTCCCCCAAACCAAGCCGCTGTCGTCTCGTCTGATCTCGGCAGGGGCCGTATGGATGCTCGGCTCCTCCTGGTTCAGGATCTGCTGCCAATCTGGACCTCGCAAACTGGTTCTCACACGGCTCCCGCCTGGCACCTCCCTCTCGGCATTTATTATTTCATCATTGTCCTTCCTCAGCTCGCTCCCATGCCACCACCCCGGGTGCCCCCGGCTCCTCATCCCAACTCCAACCACCGAGTTGGCCGGGTGAGATTTATTCCCGGCGAATTCCCGGGGGCCGGCAGCTGGAGGAGCCCGGAGCTGCCTCCCTCTCTCCCGCAGCTGAAGATCTCATCTCCCTCGCCCAAGGCGCTCCGTCCTCCTCCTCCAGATATTTTAGGCCCAGGTTTTGCGAGGAATTTACAGGCGCCGAGCCCAAGCCGATGCGCTGAAGTCAGCAGGAGGCGAGGAGCGTGCGCAGGGCTCGGGGCCCCGGGGGTGGCGGCGCAGGGAAGGGATGCTGCTGCTGGCCTGGAGCTCGTTGAGCCGCGGGAAGGGCAGAGGTTGGGGCTGGCGGATGCCAGAACCACTCAGCTCTCCCTCCGCGAGGATCAATACCACATTTCGGCTTCCTGCCTCGCGAGGCTGCCGCAGCCCTCACGCCTGCGCGGGGTGGCTTTGGGTGGGAGCGGGGGTCTCCATGCTCTCCACCACAGCGCTGTGTCCCCGCTGCCATACACCTCGCTCCCTGTGATCTACACTCCAGCCCCGTACGCCGACCCCTCCTGCTGCCCCACGGCTCCCCTCAAACCCTCAAGTCACTCCGGTGTCCCTGTAGGCTTCACCCCACTGCAAAGGGAATCCTCGGCACACAGCCTGCCTTTGTCACGGCCCTGCTGGCACACACCCGCCCTACGTGCTCCAACAGGTGAGCCCCCAGGGCAGCGTTCCTGCCCGGGCCAGTAACTGTCCCCACCGGGCAGCGGGTTCACGGTGCTGTTCCGCCCGGCACGTCTCTCCCTGCCACATCCTCGGCCGGTGAGGCACAGCGCAAGGGGGGGGGGGGGGGGGGGGCAGCGGATTTAATGAGCTCCCCGGAGGCATCGCCGCGCACCCCCCTCCCGTGCCCAGGAACCGTCGCTCTGAAACACAACCCCTCGGTGGCAGAGCTGGAAAAAAAACACAGGGCACATTGCTCTCCCCCCGCTCCTTCCCCGCCTCCCCCAGCTTTTTGCTCTCCTGCCGATGCCAAAGACCCAGCCGGGCTCTTGTGCTTTCACTCGCAGCTGCAGCTGCCGATTTTCGCTGTAAGCCCTTGTGCCTAGAAGGCCCAGAGCGAGGGATTCTGGGACGCGGTGATTGAAGACAGCACCAGCGCAGAGACCATTGCTCAGACTTTCCCTGTCTGTCGCCCCAACGCTCAACCCACAGAGAGGGAAATAAAAAAAAAAAAATAAAAAAGGGAAAAAAAAAAAAAAGAAAAGAAAAGAAAAAAAAGCAAAGCAGAGAGCAAAACGGACTCAGCTCAGCTCGCCCCTTCCCACCCACGCGGCGCTGCTTGCTTTGCTCATCGGCACCTCCAGCCCTCGTCCCGGCCATGCAGCCCCAAAACAGGCGGTGAGGTCCAGCTGCACCGCTCTGTGATGCTGAGCTGCCCCCCAGCACCGCTGCGCATGGCATCAGAAACTCACGGCCGGCACCCAGCAGCATCCCGGTTGTTTCCCTGCTCTGGTGTTTTTCAAAGGGTGAACCTTTTGCAGAGTGAGGGCAATGCTGGCGTGCGTGGCTGCGCACCAGGTGTGATGCACGAGCACAGCGGGGTCCTCGTGCAATGCCTCGGGATGAGCAGCAGGAGCAGAGCCCTGCACACAAGTAAGTTGCCATGCACAGAAGGGCTATAACCGCTATGGGGGAACATTTGGGATGCAGCCCTGCAGCTGGGCTAATGTCCCCAGGTCCATTCTGCATGCAAAGACCCCCGAGGGATGGGGTCCCCAGTAGGGGAGTGCAACAGGGGTGCAATGCCTGCCCTGCAACCCACGTGCTGCACCAGGCACGGTGCAGGGCAGCGTCCCACTGACCCCAGGTGCAGCAGCACCAACAGCAACCTCGACAAGGAAGGGCCAAACGCGGAGCACACCACGCTGCACAGCACCCTGTTCTCACACGGGGGCTGCACCCCAAGGGACAGAGCCCGCAGCGCCACCCTGACCTTTCAGGAGTGTTCTGCAGAGCATCCCCCAAAGAGCCGAGCCCACCCCGATGGCACCTGCAGCCCCCAGCACTGTGCAACACACTGCAGCCCCGACGCTGGGGAGGGGACGGGGGGGTCTCAGTGCAACCAGGGGCCTCCTCACATCCAGACAGCCCCACCACGGCCCTGCAGCAGCCGGCCGGCCCCATGGGGAGCCAAGCTCCATTGCCGTGCCAAAACCCCCCCCCCCGTTCCTCCTGCTCCCCCCAAAACGCTCCCGTTGCGAGCCCGGAAGTAGGAAACAGCCCTCCCCAGCGCTGCCCTGTTTACCAAGAGCTGGTTCCAAGCACTCGGGAGAATAGCAGGAGCATTTCAAGGCCCTGTTTCCACTCGGCTGACACACACTATTTATAGAAGCCCACAATTCTCCCAGAGCTTTCCTCGGGATCTCAGCAGAAATAGCCCGCCCCGGGTCCCTGCAGCCTGCTCTAAGGAGGGCAGGGCAGCGCGGCCCCCCCAGGCTCCCTATAACCTTCCATGGGTTTCCATCTCTTCTCCTCCTCCGGCCGCCCACTCCCAGCATGTCCTTGGCTCCCCCGTCCCCAACGCCGTGCCAGCCCACAGCTCTCCCCCCGGCACGGCTTCGGGACGAAGAGCTGGGGGAAAGGGGAGGAGGGGGGGGGGGTGACAGCGGGCAGAGCCGGGGGGGTGACGGCATGCCACCTCCAACCCAACTGCATCGGAGCGCGGCGGCGGAGCCACGGGGGGACTCACACCGGGGATGGAGTTGGCCCTATTCAGGTTACAGAGACATGGCAGAGCGGAATTTGGCGTCGCGCCATCCCTTCTCCAGCCCCCCCCCCCCCCCCCCCTTCCCACCTCCCCTTCCTCCCCTCCCCTCCCCACCACCGCCACCACCAGCACCAGCACCAGCACCACCACCCTCCCCTGCAAATTCCTGAGAGCGGCAGTGTAAGGGGACACCTGGGGGGTGGGGGGGTGGGGGGACGAAGGGCCGCGGGGCCCCGCTTTGGCCACGCACCCCGTAACCCCCCCCCCCCCCCAGCTGGGCAGGATGCATGCCCGCGCCCTCGGGGCTCGCTTCTGCTCTCTGTCACGCCAGGATAAATCTGGAGTGACTCCACAGCGCGCCGGGGCTCGCACCAGCACACAATGAGCTCAGCCTGTGGCTTTTGGTTGCTGTTCTCACAGCAACCGGCCAAGTGGCTTTATGCACAAGGCCACCTGGTCGCGGCCGGGGCCAGTTCCTCCCACGGCGAGTAAACAAGCGGGGACCCGGGGGTGCCTCCACCTGCCCCCCCCCCCCACCTCCGTCGCGGGGGGGCTTTGGGGGGGTCGGCAGCGCGGTGACCCGGTGGGGTGGCCGCAACACTGGGTCCCCCCAAGATCCCGCCGTCCCCGACGCAACACGCCGAGGGGCTCAGAGCTCGAAGGCAGCAGGGAGGTTCCAAGCATCCGATGCCCGACAACATTTTGGGGCGGCACAAGTGCAAAGCGAAGGCATCGCGCACCACGCGAGTTGGCAGCGGGGATGGGGACCCCCTCCCCTCGTCCCCGCTGTCGTCGCCCTCCCCCCCCCCCCCCCCCGGCCCCGGTGCCATCCCGCAGCTCCCCGTGCTGCTGCAACCGGGGGCGGTTCAGCCGCGGGGGTCGGGGCGGTCGGGAGGGGGGGGAGCTCCGCACGCCCCCCCGAGCTGTGAGGATAACCCCAAATTTTGTTGACATGTTCCGTTCCGCCTTCTAGCGGACGGAGCCGGCTCTGACAGCTGTCACTCAGCGCTCGCAGCCCGGGGGGGGAGGTGGCGGAGGGGGGGGGGGGGGGGGGAAGGCTGAACTCATGGCAATGGCACGGCGCACGGCGGGGGGCTCGCGGGGCCCCCCCTCCCCTCCCCAAGTGCCATTAAACTCCGCGCTGTGGCACCAACTCGCCGCGCAACTTCGACGGAGGGGACGACGCTTGGGGGGGAGAGGGGGTGCCCCCCTCCCGCCCCCCTCCCCTCGACCCAAAGCGGGGTGTCGTCCCCCCCCCGCGCACAGACACACGCACACACCCACACCCCCTCCCTCCCGCCCCCTCCCGCCCCGACCCCCGCCCCAGCCCCGCACAAAGGGGCACTCACCCGTCGGCTGCAACGCCCCGAGCCCCGCGCCGTCCGCCGGGGCTGCGTCCTGACCGCCCGCGGGACTCCCGGAGCTCTCGGCACCGCTCGCCACCTTCAACGAGAGCATTTCCAGCGCCTCCTGCTCACATTCTCCCCAAGGCAACTCCTCTCCTGCCAGCCCGCCCCCTCCTCCGTCCCCTGCCTGCTCTCTCCTCTCCGCTTTCCTCCTTCCCTCTCCTCTCCCCCCCCTCCACCCCTCTCTATGTGATTTTTCCTGGCTTTTCTCTCCCCGCTGCCGCTCGGCTTTTTCGCTTTTTTTTTTTTTTTTCCGCTTTTTTTTTTTTTTTGCCTCCTTTTCTCCTCTCTCCCCCCAAACCCCCCCGCCCCCCCCCCCCCCCCTTCGCCTCGCACACACACAAAAGGCAGCGGAGCGCGAGGCGGAGGGGAACCGACCTCCCCTCTGCGCCTCCGCCGCTCAGCCGCCTGCGGAAAGCAAAGAAAGACACAGCGCAGCAGAGCCCTGCTTGCCGCTGCCTCCCCCCTTCCTCCTCCTCCTCCTCCTCCTCCTCCACCTCCTCCTCCTCCTCCCTCGCTCTTGCCTTCTGCCGCTCCCGGCTTTGTGGGGGCTGGGAGCGGGGGGAGCGCAGCCGGCGGCTCGGCGCGCCCTGCCCTCTCCGTGCGCGGCGGGGACCGCGCTCCGCTCCGCTGTCAGCGGCACGGCCAGCATCCGGCACCCCGGGGAGCCGCGCAGCACCGCCGGGGCATGCCGGGCCTTGTAGTCCTTCCTCTCCCCCCCCCCTTCAGCTCCTTCCCTCCTTCCTTTCCTCCCCCCGCCTCGCTTTTCTCCTCCCCGTTGCTGCGAAGCGCGCAGAGGAGGCGGGGAAGGGCGCAGATGGGTGCGCGGCTTTTGCGCTCGATTTTGGGAGGGGGGTTCTAAGCGGTGGGGTGGTGGGTGGGTGGGTGATTCCCCCCCCTTCGGGTGCTCTGCACCCCCGGGATTCCCCCCCTCCCCCCCCCTCCCCAGCGGGATGTGCGGGGCATTGCTGCCCTCTCCTGGGTTGCACCCGCACAACGCGGAGCGCACATCTGCCCCATGCGCGCACCCTTTTCCTTTTCTTTTTTTTTTTTCCCCCTAATTTTTAAATCACCTCATCATCATCATCATCATCATTATTACCATTATTATTATTATTTTAACTTAGATGCTGTCCCAAGGGTCTGGCGGTGCGGGAAACTTCCCCGCTGTTTCCTAACTCCTGGAAGCGCAGAACCGTTGAGGTTGGAAAAGATCTCCAAGACCGCCAGGTCCAACCCAAACCCATCCCCAGCAGTGCTGCCCGCTGTCCTAAGTGCCACATCCGCGGTTCTGGAACACCCCAGGGGCAGTGACCCCCCTCAGCCCCCGGGGCAGCTGTCCCAGCTCCGCTCTACCAACACACCACCACTCTGGGAAGAAATTCCTCCTAATCTTCCATGCATGGGACGCACGAGGATCCCCTCATCCTTGGCACTGGTGGGCTGAGCATTGCCCAAAGCCCCCAGGGTGGCACAGCAGTGGGCTGTGGGCCCCCCACCCCCCTGATTTCCATCCCCCAAATATCCCCCCATTGCTTCCCCTCCAGCGCTGTTCCCAGAGCCCCGTAGATCCGATCTCATTAAAGCAGATAACGCCGCTGCTGTTTGTTGTGACACCGTTTGTGTGAGTGGCAAGCAAAGGGTTAACTCCAGGGAATTGGGAATATTGCCTGGCTGCTAATAACACGTGAGTCACTGCCGGAACAACACATGGGTGCAGGGAGAGACACAGCACCCAACTGCACAGCAGCCTTCAGGGTCGGGGTTTGCCGTGCAGTGACCCCAAACCGGGCAGGGGAAGGGGGTCAGCAAACCCTCCAGCAGGGAATTATCACATCCCCAAATCCCTCAGCTCCATCCCCGCACCCCAACGGGATGGGAGTCACAGGGATGGGGGACAGAGAGAGGACAGGGACCCCCCTCCTGGAAACCACGCGGAGAGGAGCAGCCCTGCGCTCCAGCCCGGTCAGCAGAGGAATCTGCACACGCAGACAGGATCGCTGCAATCGCTGGTGGCTGAGTGAGCAACTTTGCAGGCTTCCTCATCCCCTCGCCCTGAATGTCAGCTTTGAATTTTCTTGCTATTTTTAGGGATGATTCCGACACGAGGAGGATCCCTCCGTCCTCACCTCGCCGTGTTTTGCACCGTGTGAACATTGCAAGGCCGTCTATCGCTGCACCTGCCCCTGTGTGCATTGCTGTACCTGCCCCATAGATAGTGCTGTACCTGCCCCATAGATAGTGCTGTACCTGCCCCTATATATGCTGCTGTACCTGCCTCATGTGCTGCTGCTCCTGCCCTACACGTGCATTGGGACGGAGGGTCGGGTCGGCTGCTTTGCACAGAAGGTCGCATGGAAAACGTTGCAAGCAAGGATGGGTTGGAATGTAAAAGATTTATTAATTTAATCCGAAGCATTAAAAGGTCATGTATTAATCAAAGAGATGCTTAAAACTGTCAAAGTCCTTTGTCAGGTTTGAAGTGCATCTCTATAGTTATCATAAAATATATATAGATATCAGTCTGGCACGGAGCCCTCATTGGGCTGGGAGTGGAGGGGAGGAAGGAGGGGGGTCCCCACGGGTGGGCTCTGCTCGGATCCGCGGGGGGAGGGGGGGGGGGCAGCACTCCCACGTCCATCCGGGACACGTGGGTCACCCGGGGGTCTGTGGTTGGGGTTGGGCTGGGAGGAGGGAGGATGCTGGGCTGTGGGGTGGGGATGGAGCGGGGTCCAGAGCCGCGGATGTGGGCCGTGCTGGGGGTCGTCGGGAAGGAGAGCGGCGCCCACACCGCTCGCGTCGCAGCGTCGCGCGTGGCTCCTCCTGGCTGCGGAGTGGGGGAGGGAAGCGGCTCCCCAGGGCCACCCGGGTCACCCGGACGCGTTGTCCCTCCCGCAGACAGTGCTGTGTCAGCAGCGGAGCCTTGGGCTTACGCTACCATCTAGCGGCTGCTGCGCCGCGCCGGGCCACCGCTGTCCCCGCGTCCCCGCGCCGTGGGGGCGTCCTCGTGTCTTGGCGGTGGGCGGCTGCCCCGGTTTCCGAGCCCCCTCCCCAGCCCTATAGAACATCGGTGCGGCGGGTGACCCCTTGTCCCCGTGCAGTGTTTGTCCTCCCGCAGTTTGTGGCTGGTGGCAGCGCTTGGGACCCCCGAAGCCAGAGCCAGGTCGCCGAGGAGGGACCCTGGGGGATCGGGGGAGGCTTGGGGACAGCGAGGTGAGCGCAAGAGGGGACGGCGAGAGGGGCTTTGCAGAGATGTGGGAGCTGCCTCTGGAGAGCACTGCGGGTTCCGCAGCTCCAGTTGAGGCTGGGGGCTTCCGGCTGTGAGGCCATCCTGATTTTGCCCCCATCACCGCAGCGGAAGAGACTCAACCACCCCCGAAATGGCAGAGCAGGGCGTTCCCCAGGCAGCGAAACCACCCCGGGTTTGGCTCAGCTGCCAACACTGCTGAGCGTCACCCGGCTGAGCGCCGCTCCCCCCCCGACACCCCACAGCCCCAAACATCCCCGTGCTTTGCTTCGCTCCCCACATCCCACCTCACGCCCCCAATCCCTCCCCATCGACCGGGGCCGTGAGGCTGGAGAGCCGAAGCTGTGGGGAGAGGTGGGGACAGGGAGGCCACGTCATTAACGCAGGCAGGAGGCGAGCAGCTGCGCACAGCCTGGCGTGCTCCCCAGCTGCGGTCACAGGCCGGTGCGTGGCTGTTCCTCCACTCCATCCATGGAAAAACACGTCCCCTCCCAGCGCCTGCTGCTGAGCCGTGGGGCCACTGCAGATGGGTCCCTCCGTGCCTCGGTTTCCCCCGTGGGCACGGCTCCCATAGTGCTGGAGCAGCGCTGCTGCACCCGGCCAAGCCTCGCTTTGCGTTCTTGGCCACTCTCCACTGTTGTCTGGTCATCGCCTCCGCAGGGACGCGGATCTGCTCCATGACCTGGGAGCACTGTGTGCTGCCGTCCCTGGGGAGCTCAGCTCTTAAGGGGACGAAGCCACCCCCATCCCCAGCTCTGCTCTGGGTGGGGAAGGATCCTTCCCAGCTGCTCTCGGCGGCGGCAGCTTTGGGTGAGGGTCCCCATGGTGGGGGTTGGTGGCAGCTCCGTCGTGCCAGGGCTGCAGTGTTGGCCATCTGCAGCCATCTCACACCTGCGCCCATCGCTTGGCACGGCGTGGGCAGCCTTGGTCCAACCCAACACCCCCCCTCTCAGCCCAGAGCAGGGCGGCACATCCAGGAGGTCCAGGGGAGATGGCGACCCTCAGGAACACTGGGGAGACACGGTGCCACGCTTCTATGGGACGCGGGGACAGGAGGTGACGCCGAGCTCTTTTCCTTCCCCTCCAGAAGATGCCACAGGGGTCTGGGCGGCGGGAAGGGGTCACCTCATAGCCCCCATCTGGATGCTGTGCTCTGCCCTCCCCACCCCGGGGCTGGTGGCTGTCCCTCCACTCACTGCTCACCGCTCGATGGAGCATGGCATTAACATCAAATCGATGCCCTCCCCACAGCCTGCAGCCACGCTGGGCCACACTGCGCCCTTTAACCCCTTCACTGCCAAGTGAGGCTGCTTCTGTTAGGGCTGAACTGCAGACGGGCTCTGCCCAGCCCTGCCAGGGTGCTGCGGGCACCTCGCTTCATTTAGGGGTGCTCCAGGCCCCCTTGCAAGCAGGGCCTGCAACAGGATTAGGAAAGGACAACCCAGCTGTCGCTATGGGGATGAGGGACGCATCCTTTGGGTGCGCCGTTTGCTCCCAGCAAGCAGGTTTGGGATGCTGGGTGTGTGTGCATGCACACAGCGAGTAGCAGGGCGTGCAAACATGCAGACACATGCAGGCGTGTGCACGGAGGTAAGGCAGCACCTTGCACGCACACGTGCATACGACTGTGCTCTGCACAGCCAGCCCGGGGCCAGGCAGCACGCGTGCATGGCATCACATGTGCACAGTGCAAGCAGTGAGAGCTGGGGGCAAAGCAGGCAGCTGGGGGGTGGAGGCACTGCAGTGCAGGGTGCAGACATGGCTGTGGGTGTCGTGTGGTGACCCGGGAGACGAGAGGCGCACGGAGGTGGCAGCACGGCCCCCAACCCCCAGCCCTGAGCCCCCCATGTGGGGCCGAGCCCAGGCCCCTTCCATCAGTGCTGGGGAATTCATTAGCGGCCACAGCTGGGCCCTGTGGGGGGGCTGAGCTGCAGGGGAAATTAACCCCTTCCTCCCCAGACTCACACGCGGGTCCCCCCCCCCCCTCTGCCCTCACACAGGCGTCCCCCCCAGGTAGGGCCAGAAGGACCCAGCCCCCCCCCCCACGCTTGTTAGAAAGGTTTTTATTTCTCTCTATTTACAGATTGAATTTAAAAAAGAAAATTAACAACAAAACCTTCCCATCCCCTTCCCCCAGCATCCCTGAGGGGGGGGAGGTGGGGCCACAGCCTGAGTGCACAGCTCTGCCCCCATTGTAGGGGGCTCCTGGCCATGAGGAGGGCCCCCCGAACCCCCCAGTGCCACCACATTCACTTTGTGCCCCGTGTTCCCCCACTGCTCCCCCCCCCTCCCCAATTAATGCTCGCTGCAGGGATTTGGGGGTTTGAGATGAGCCCCTGTAGGCACTATGGGGTGAACCTGCCCCACGCTCCCCTCCTCCCTGTTCCCAAATAAGGCAATGGGGCCCCAAGAAGCAGCCCCTGAGACAGACCTGCCCTGGGTCCCCCCAGCCCCCCTTCTGTCCCTCCTTCAGTGCAGCAGCAGTTTATGGCTTTCAGGATTTTGGTTCTGCTTTGAGGAGAAGAGAAGAAAGCAGCGGGTGAGGCAAGGAGCAGCCCCTCTCTCTCTCTCCCTCCTCCCAATATAGGGGTCTCTGAGGGGGAGATGGCTGCTGGGGGGGGGGGTTATAAATTAAAGACAGTATTAGGAGGGGGTGGTGAGATGACCTTCCCCACAGAGCTGAGCTGGGTGGTGAGATGGGGAGGGGGCACCCTCAGGACACCTGTGTGCTGGATGGGGGGGGGGGGGGAACATTCCTCCTCCATCCAAAGCACTTCTCAGGTTCAAAGCTGGCTGTGAAGGCAATGAGAGAGGTGCTGGGGGAGGGGGGCACAGCTGGGCACGGCGCAGCCCCCTGAGTCCAAACTCCTTGTGCAAAGCCCCCCAAGGGCACCCTCTGCACAGCCTCAAAGGCACTCACAGGGGATGAAGGCGATGAGAGCAACAAAACCCCCTGCAGAAAGGGGAGGATCGGCCCCCCCAGCCCTCCTAACGTGGGGTCACTGGTTGTCCCCGGGTTGGTACTGGGGCTCAGTGGCTGTGAAGTAATCCTCGAGGAAGGACTGAAGGTACTCAAAGGTGGGACGCTCCTCGGGCTCCCTCTTCCAGCACTGCATCATCACGTCGTGCAGGGATGGGGGGCAGCCACCCGGGCACTGCATGCGGTACCCCCGCTCCACCTGCTCCAGCACCTCCCTGTTGTTCATCCCTGTGAGACACGGGACACCCCATTGCCATGGGGGAGCGGCAGTGGGGAAGCTGTGGCACGTGGGGGGTGTGTGGATGGGGCCGTACCTGGGTAGGGCACCCGGCCTTTGGTCACCAGCTCCGTCAGCAGGATGCCGAAGGACCAGACGTCTGACTTGATGGTGAACTTCCCAAAGAGGGCCGCCTCTGGGGCTGTCCACTTAATGGGGAATTTGGCACCTGCAGGGGTGATGGGAAGCAGGTGAGTCCTGGCTGGGCACCACGAGGCACCTGCCCCCCCCCCCCCAGGGTACCCCACACCTGCAGCACCAGCACTGGGATGTCCAACATATGGGGAGCTGTGCATTAAGAGGATCTTGATACCCTGCACCCAGGTAACCCTTCACTCAGGGTATCCATCAGCCAGAGTGCACACAATCCAGGGTGCCCATAACCTGGGGTACCCACCATCCATGGTTCCCATCAGCCAGGGTACACCCTTCATATAGGGTCCCCATAACCTGGGATATCCATCACTTGGGCAACCCATCACTTGGGGTCCCCATGACCTGTGGTACCCATAACCCAGGGTACCAACCACTCGGGGTACCCATAATTTAAGGTCCCCCATAACCCAGGGGAGCCAGCACTTGGACAACCCATCACTTGGGACATCCATAACCCAGGGCACCAGTAACGCAGGGTGCCAGTCACTTGAGGGATACCCATCACCTTGGTACTCCTCACTTGGGGTCCCCACCAGCTGTAGTTCCCATAACCAGTGGTACCCATAACCTGGGGTACCCATCACTTAAGATAGCCATCACTTGGCGTACCCACAAACTGGGGTACCTATAACCCAGAGTACCCAAAACTTGGGCAACCCAACACTTGGACAACCCATTACTTGGGATATCCATAACCTGTAACCCAGGATACCAATCACTTGAGGTACCCACAGACTCAGATACTCCTAACTTAGGTTACCCATACATTGGGGTGCCTATAGTCCAGGGTACCCAACACTTGGACAACCCAACACTCGGACAACCCAACACTTGGACAACCCAACACTTGGACAACCCAACACTCGGACAACCCAACTCTTGGACAACCCAACACTTGGACAACCCAATGCTTGGACAACCCAACACTCGGACAACCCAACTCTTGGACAACCCAACATTTGGACAACCCAACGCTTGGACAACCCAACATTTGGACAACCCAACATTTGGACAACCCAACTCTTGGACAACCCAACACTCGGACAACCCAACACTCAGACAACCCAACTCTTGGACAACCCAACGCTTGGACAACCCAACTCTTGGACAACCCAACACTCGGACAACCCAACACTTGGACAACCCAACACTCGGACAGCCCAACACTTGGACAACCCAACACTCGGACAACCCAACACTTGGACAACCCAACTCTTGGACAACCCAACACTCGGACAACCCAACACTTGGACAACCCAACACTCGGACAACCCAACTCTTGGACAACCCAACTCTTGGACAACCCAACACTCGGACAACCCAACACTTGGACAACCCAACACTCGGACAACCCAACTCTTGGACAACCCAACTCTTGGACAACCCAACTCTTGGACAACCCAACACTCGGACAACCCAACACTCGGACAACCCAACACTCGGACAACCCAACACTTGGACAACCCAACACTCGGACAACCCAACATCTGGACACCCCAACATTTGGACAACCCAACACTTGGACAACCCAATGCTTGGGATATCCACAACCCAGGGTATCTGTAAACCAGGATCCCAGTTGCTTGGTGTACCTATAAACCGGACTACCCATCACTTGGGTACCCATAGCTTCGGGTACCCATCACTTGGACTACCCATCATCCATGGGTCCCATCACCCAAGGCTCCCAGCACCGGCTGTGACCAGGATGCAGCACATTGGGGGCAGGACAGCGCCCCCACTGCAGCAGCCCAGCCGTGGGCTCACCTTGCCGTGCCGTGTACTCGTTGTCCTCGATGAGGCGGGCGAGGCCGAAGTCGGCAATCTTGCACACCAGGTTGTCGCCCACCAGGATGTTGGCAGCACGCAGGTCCCGGTGGATGTAGTTCATCCGCTCGATGTAAGCCATGCCCGCGGCGATCTGCGGGTGGGGAAGCCGTGAGGACCCCCCCCCTGCACTGGGTGCAGCCCCTATGGCTCACCCCAAACCAATACCTGTGCAGCCATGTCCACCAGCTGGGGCAGCTTCAAGTAGCGACCGTCCCCGTCCTTTAGGAAGTCCAGCAAGCTGCCTGTGGGCAGAGGGTGGCGCTGGGAGTGCTGTGCCCCCCCCGGGGATGCCCACCCCCATAGGGACGCAGCCCTTGGACCAGGTCCCTGCGCACCTCAGCCGTGCTGGGTGATGCCCATGGGAGAGCAGCTCTGCGGGTGCTGTCGTCCCTCACCTTGGCTCATGAACTCAGTGACGATGTAGATGGGTTCCTCTGACACCACGGCGTAGAGCTGCACCAGCTTGTCGTGCCGCAGCCTCTTCATGATCTGAGCTTCCTCCAGGAAGGCCTCGGGGGACATGGTGCCTGGCTTCAGTGTCTTCACTGCCACCTTGGTGGTGCCGTTCCACGTCCCTGAGTTGGGGACACGGGGTCACCTGGAGCCTTGGGGACAGCCGGCCCTGATGGGGCCAGGAGGGAGGGGTGCAAGGGCGCAGCAGTGCATGGGTGCATGGATGGATGGATGGAGGGATGGATGGGTGCATGGGTGCATGGATGGATGGATGGAGGGATGGATGGGTGCATGGGCGCATGGATGGATGGATGGAGGGACGACTTGAGGGCATCAGGGCAGGGCAAGAAAGGTCCGTGATATCATCATACCCAACCCAGGGCAAGGAGTCTTCCTCACTTCCACACAAGGCACCCTCGGGCTCAGCTAACAGCAGCCTTACCCCATTCCCCATCCATCCACACCGCAGTGATGCCGGGGTCTCCCCTATGGTGGGCACCTGCCGTGGCACCGGGCTCTGCCTGCCCGCAGCCCCCCCTTACCCATCCACACGTCTCCAAAACATCCCATGCCGAGCTTCTTGTCCAGGCTGATGGACTCCCGCTCTATCTCCCAGGCGTCCTTAGCTAATCCCAGGGTCTGAGGCTTCATAGCGGGGCAGGCTCGGGTTAGCTGATGGCACAACCCATCGTTGCACTCTGCAGGGGCGCAGGGAGGGGGGGCGGGGGAGGGAAGGGAGGCAGGGGATGGCATGGGATGAAGGCAGCATGCACAGCGAGGGGGGAACGCGGGCCCTACCCATCCACACTTCCCCGAACTGCCCGTTGCCCAGCTTCTGCAGCAGCTGCAGGGACTCGCGGGGGATCTCCCACACGTCTTTGGTTTTGACCGACAGGTCGGCCAGCTTTGGGGTCCCTTTGGGGCACGGCACGGCCAGGCGGCAGCACAGCCCGGCCGCCCGCTCTGTGCACCGAGGGGGCAGGCATCAGCAAGGAGGGGGGGGGATCCGTGCCATCGCCCCCCACCCCCGTAGAGCTGCACTCACCCCCGTGACGTGTGCGGGATGGTCCCCCCATAGGGCCAACCCTGCATCCCTACCAACCCCACCGACACCCACCCAGACCTGGGGGCCATTTACCTGCTCCGGAGAGGTTGGGTGCTCCTTCCCAACAGAGGACTGCGCACACCTGGGGGTCCCCCTCCTTCTCCAGTTACACCCAGTTAGCCAACCAGCTGGGGGTCCCATCACCCCTTCTTCCCCCCCCACCCCTCCCCACCTACATATACCTATGTAGTGCTGCACCAGCTGCTGGATGGTGTCAAACTGTGCCCGGGTGGTGATGTAGTAACCCCCGCTGTCCAGCTTACGGATCTTATAGTGCTTCACGTGGTCGCCCTTGGCCTCATCCCAGTCCCGGATGGAGAGGGAGTAGGCGCCTACATAGGGCAGAAGTCAGGAGTGGGGACAGGGGGGACGCAGGCCCGGCCCCATTGCTGTCCCCATACCTTTTGTTGTCTCGCTCTCACGGATGAGGAAGGTGCCCCTGCAGTTGCCATGGCACAGGAGCTGCCGCTCTGCATCCTTGCGCCCGATCTTTCCAAAGTACCACCTGCCAGGGGCTGCTGTCACCCAAGGGTGCTTCGGGTCCCCTTACCAGCACCGCAGCCCCACGTTGCCATCACTGCAGCACTGCCAGGGGTGCCCACCCCCCCGCCCCAAATACTCACTCCTCTGCCTGGATGGAGTCCACGGGGGCCACGTAGTTGCTGGGGATGTAACCCGTGGCACCTGAGCTCAGCGACCGTGCCTCCCACCAGTCACCCTCGCTGGGACAGAGGGACGGACAGTGAGGAGGAGGGATGGACAGACGGACCCGCCTGCCCTGCGCATCCCTTCCCCACACACAGCACCACAACCCCCCCCTCAACCCTGGTCTGCTGAGACCGGCCAGCTCGTGACACGCGTCGGGAGCTCACGTGTTGTTGATGATGTGGAATTTCTCCCCTTTCTGGAAGCTCAGGTCATCCTCCGTCCTGGCCTCGTAGTCATACAGGGCAATGAAGAGCGTCACACCCCCACCTATGGGACACAATGGGGGAGTAGTGGGGACACGGCTGAGCCCACCCCACCCGGCACCCATGGGTGCAGCCCACCCCCATCGCCAACACGCGCCCCACTGACCAGTGATGCTGCTGTGTGCCTGCAGCGTGTTGCAGGGGTAGAAGCTCGGCCCTGAGAAGGGTGCAGGGGAGGGCACGGCTGCAGCGTGGAAGTTGTTGAAGTCAGGGATGTGGGTGAAGGCACCGCTGAGCTGCGTGGGGTCGGGGTCGTACTGGGAGGGCGGGTGAGCGGGGGTCACCGTGCTGCTCCCCCCCTGCCCCTTGCCGGACATCTTCTCCTTGCAGTGCACACAGCCCATCCTGGCACGGCCTGTGGGACAGACGGACACAGCGCTGTGCCACCCCCCAAGACCCCCAGCCCCTGCCCAGCCCTGGTGGGGGGCTTTGTGTCCCCCCCAGCACCCACAGGTGCTGCCACCCATGGTGTCTCCACTCACTGTGACAGCTCCTCGGGTCACTTCAGCTGCTCCATGTCAGCTCGGGGAAGAGAGGCACCTGCAGGCATTGGGAGAGGCGTCAGGTGGGGGGCAGAGCCCTGTGGTGAGGGCTGCAATACCCCTACATGGGGCTGCAGTGCCCCTGCATAGCCTAACCCAACCCTGCACGGGCTGAAATGCCCCCACGCTGGCTGCAGTATCTGTGCAGCACCACTGCATGGGCTGCAACAACACCGCGTGGGCTGCAACACTCTGCACTGACTTCCATGCCCCTCCATGAGCTGCAACACCCCTCCACGGCCTGAAACACCTCTGCGTGGGTTAACAGAACCCGACACAGGCTAACAAACCTCACGTGGGCTGCAATACCCCCACAAGGGCTCTGCTGCATCTCCAGGAGCCCTGCACAGGATGCAATCCTCCTGCAAAGGCTGCAAGGTCTCTGCAACAGCCCTGCAGGAGCTGAAGCACTTCTGCGTGCGCTGAAACCACATCCCGTCGTGTCCCCAGCGAACCGACCAGCTCTGTCCGAGCAGAGGGGCCGGAGGGAGCAGGGCAGGGTGACACAGAGCCCCCAGCTTTGTCCCCAGAGCTGCCACGGGTCGGGTGGCTGCGGGAGGAAGGGCTCCCTGTGGTTGTGGCCGTGCTTCTCCATCCGGAGCCACGCAGCATCTGCTAGGAGGAGGAGGGCTCCTGGTGGGGACAGCTGTGTTCCCAGCACTGGCATCACCTCCTCTGGCTGCATGGGGTTGGGGGCTCACAGCCTGCAGCATGGCAGTGCCATGGTGGGATGGGGGCTGCGGTCCCCATGGTGGGATGGGGGCTGCAGGATGGGAGGGCCTGGAGCGGTGGTGGTGGAGATCGGGGTTCCCCCATCGCAGTATCTGATTCTCCCTTCCCTCTCTTGGCAGAAGGGTTTCAGAACACCAAGCAGAAGCAGAGCTCTGGCTCTCCTCATCCACTTCCTAAACCAACGGGGGCTGCTGCTGACGGGGCAGCGTTGCCAAACCCAAAGTGCTTGGCTGCTCTTTGGGGCTTCCTCCTGCAGACACGGGGTCAGCGTTTCGACTGACAAACCCCCACCATGGGAAGCCCCCTCCCCTTCACAGCAGCTTCCCATTTCACTCCACATCTGCATCGAACTGACAGATTCCAGGGCCAGCGGAGGCGAAAGACAAACTTGCAGGAAAGCACCAACCCCCCCAAAGCCCCGCACTCGCAGGGCTGCCCCGCAGCATCGCACCCACCCCAAAGCTCAGCCCCCCAAACAGCTCCCTGCTCCCATCCTTGGGGAGGGGATGCGCTCATCCCTGTGCCCCACAGCCACGTGTTGGCACCCGGCCCTGCAGCAGATGGCCACCGAGCCCTTCCTGGCAGCCCCACCTGCCCCAGTGCCATCGTGCTGCCAGCGCCGTGCCCTCCATCACCCCCAGCACCACAGGTCAGCATCGTCACCACTTCCCATCCATCTGCTCCGATTTCCAGGGCCTGATGGCACGGGGAGCTTCTGGGGTTGGATGGCTGCTGTCCCAAAGCTGCTCAGCCACACGGCCGCCAGCAGCGGGGGCGCACATGGGGTGCAGGGCCAGCATCGGCCCCACGGTTTGATCACAGAACTGTGGGATCGTGGCACATCCTGAACAGGGGGGACCCACAGCGGGGTCACCCTGCATGTCACCCCATTGGCCTTGGGGACACCATGCAGGGTTCAGCCATGATCACAGGCTGCACTGGGAGGAGGAATGGAGCCAAAGGTGCACAGCGTGGTGGCCTCAGCTCCTGGGAACGTGTGGGCAGCAGCAGGAGGAACCACGTCAGCCCCACAAGCACCTCCACCGGGGCAGGAGGAAGAGGCTGGCGAGTGCAGCAATGAGAAGGAGGAGGGGAGGAAGGGGAAGGAGCTGCAGCCTCTAAAGGAACCTCCTGGCCGGCACAGGCCCAGGCTTTGGGTTGGGAAATAGAGCAGGGATCCCAGCAGGGCTGAGCGGCAGCTCCCCAAGCTGCATGCTACCTCCATACCCCACACTCTCACGTCCTCCTGCATGGCCCTACAACCCAGAGGTGCTGGGCACCGTGATGCAGCCCAGCCTGGAGAAGAGGAACCAACCCTGCAGCACACAGCACCCACAGGGCCGGATTCAGGATTCACAGCTCCCAGCCCCAATCCCAGCTGTGGGACCAGCACAGAGGGGCAGGTGGATGTGAAGAAGGGGAGGGGACGAGAGGATGTGGGGACAGCAGCAGAGATGGTGGGGTGGGATGCAGCCAGGATGCAACAGCACGAGAGCATCGCCCAAGAGCAGCCATCGCAGTGGGGTGGTGGCAACGGGGACGTGGTGGTGCCTCAACGGGGACATGGGGACAGACCAGTGGGAATTTGGTGGGGCACAATGGGGACACGGATGGAGGCAATGCATTCCACCCAAGAAGTCCCTTCCCCTGCCCGTGAGGGCTGTGGAGGCTGCTGACCCCCATTCACCCAATGCTCTCCCCAAGTAGCAGTGGGGCATTGAATTGCCCCCCCACAAATACCCCGGGGCAGAAGGCAATGAGACGAATCACCCCAAAGCCTTTGGCCCTGAGCAGACCCACCTGCCCTGCCCCATAGCTGGGGGTGCCCCTCGCCCCCCTCCCCAGAGGTGATGCCCGTCTCACAGCTGTGCCCCCACCTCCCAGCCCCACCGCTGGCAATGAGGGCAGGATTTCCGCTGGAAGAAGAGCAATTCCCGGATCCGAGGGGGCTGCAGAGGAGGGGGGAAGGCCCTGCCAGGGCTGCGAATACAATGTCCCGGGAGGAGCAGGGCGGGGAGGGAATTGTGCGGGCAGGAAGCGGCCAGTTCCTGCCCGGGACACACCGCGGGATGGGGGGCGCAGGAGAGGGGGGGGCACCCCACGTGTGAGGGCTGCGTGCACCCCCTGCTCCCAGCCCGGCTATTGGGGAGGGGGGGGTTCAGCACTGCGGGATCTCGTAGGGGGAGCGGGTGCCTCCAAACTGGGGGGGGCTCCCCATGTCCCCTCCTGTGCACGGTTGTCCCCGCGGCCGATCACTGCGGATGGGTGAGCTGGGGCTGACCGCCCCTCCCCGCAGGCAGCAGAAGTCGGGGGTCTCCTGCTCCCCCCCCCCCCCCCCCCACACACACACACACCTCCATCCTCACCGCAGGACTGCGGGAGCACTGACCCCCCCCCCCCGGAACACACACACACACACACCCCCAATGGCAACACAGCCCCCATCCCTCATCGGCTGGGTGGGGGGCAGCTCACAGCCTCCCCCTATAAAACACACAACCAGAGGATACAGACGCCCCCCATTCCCATAACACAAGAGGCGGCCGTGCCCTCCCACCTGCCCCCCCCCTCACCCCGCGCTCCCTTCTTACCTTCAGCCCTCTTCGCATGGAGCCCCCCGGAGCTGCACCCCGACCCCCCCCCCCTCCCTCCACCGGGGCCGGGCACAGCGCTGCGGGGCACAGTGCGGGGAGAGGCGGAGCGGTGCGTGCGGCTCCCCCGGTGCCTCTGAGCGGCTCTATCCGCCGCGCTGAGCTTCCCCTCCCCTCCTCTCCCCTCCCCTCCCCTCGCCCCCCCCCCCTTCTCCGAGATGATGCTTCGTTATAACAGCGCGACGCCGGTCCGGGGGGACGCGGGGTGGTGGCACCGGGCTGTCCCGTGCTACTCGGGGTCTGTTTAATGCTTATAGGGGTTCGGGTGGGAAGGTCGCCCTCCCGCTCCCATCCCAAAGGAGGCGTGCGTAGGATCGGGGGGGCTGCGACCCTCTGGGACAGCATGGGGACACCGGGGCCACGGGCTGGGGTAAAAAGTCCCCTGCGGGTGGTGCATCCGACACCGGATCCTTATCTGCGGGACGAAGGTGCCGGTGGGAGGAACTCAACATCCAACAAACTTCGGCTGAGGCCTCCACATCCTGCTGGGACCCCGCTCCCTTCCCGCTGCCCCACTCCCTGCCCAGACCCCCACATCCTATCCAGATCCCCGCACCCCTCCCGGACCCCTCACCCTGCTCTCACCCCTCACCCAGTCCAGGCTCCCCATGAGGGTTCTGAGTTTGGGATCCTCCTTACAGAGGCAACTCTGAGTTTTGGTGATCCGAGCCCTGGAGCAGTGGGGTGGCGGTGGGGCGCACAGCTGACCTGGAGGACGGCCGCTTGCCAAAAGCAAAACCTCCCCAGCTAGAAATAAACAGCCTCTGTGGTTGGAGTGCAGCTCTGACCCCAGGGACAGGACGAGGGGCTGCTGGTATTTTTACCCCCGCCGCAGTTTCCTGCCGTGGGGCCGTGCTTCCAAGGGGTGATGGTGCATGGGGACGGGATGGAGCTTCAGCCCAGAGCCGCTGCATCCCAGTTGGGCTGCTTTGGAGGATGGAGGCCCTTTGCTGTCCCTCCAGATCCTTCCTCCCCCTCGTTTCCCTCCTTTCCACCCCCACCCCTCCAGTGCAGCTCACGGTGGCCTTTGCAGGGTGGCTGCTTTCCTGTGTGACACCAAGTCCAGCCCCAAAGCTCTTCCTGTTCTCACACTGGGTCACGGGCCACCACCAGGACGGGGATGTGGCCGCACCACTCTGTCCTGAGGGGCTCAGTCCCCAGTGGGGAGGAGACACCACAGGATGGGGGCTGCTCACAATGGTCCCCTGTAGCACCATGAGCTTCCAGGCTGCTCCTGGACACACACTGCAGCCCCAGGTGCTCTCCTTAACACTGTGCCCATGAAGGAGCTCTGTTGCAGGATAAATGCAGCCAGCACAGGGGGACGGGGCAGCTCTGGGAGTTCCCAGCAGCACGTGGGGACCTCAGAGCCCTTGGGGGCAGGTAGGTGCACAGGGAGATGAGGGGCTTCTGCGCGCTGCTGGAAGAGCATCTCCCACCCCACCTGCAGAATGATGCCTCAGTTTCCCCTCCTCCAGCCCAATTCCCAAACTGTGGGGTCCAGGATGCCAGCATTTCCCTCTGCCCTGCAGCCCCCACCCCTGCAAGCCACCCCATAGGAGGGTCCCAGTGCTCTCTGGTCCCCCAGTTTGTTTTGGCCGTGCCACCCATTCCCAGCCGGCACCCCGCAGCTCTCCCAACACACAGCACCCCGCTGCCAGCCGGTCCCATGCACCACATGATTTCAGTTCTTTCCCTCCCCTGGGGAGGGCCCAGGTTTGGGCTTAAAGCCGAGCTCATCCCAGTGAGGAGCTGTGATGATGGGTGTGCTGGGCTGGCTCGTGGCTGCCGCACTCGGCAGCTCTGTGCAGGGTGAGTCGGTGCCCTTTGGGGACACCCATGGGTGGGAGCTGGGTCTGGCATCTCCTCATTGCTGGGGGGGGGAGAAAGGGGTTTCCTGCATGCATTGTGGGGTTTCCTAAATTCGAAGCCCTTAATGGAGAAGAGCTGCAGGGTGGCGAAGTGCTTTGGTAAGGGGGAAGTGTGAAAATAGGGCTGCATTGAGGCAGGCTGCTGTAACTCCGGCTGGTTCCCTGTTTTGCAGTGAGGCAGGCAGGTTGCTGCCGGAAGCAAAGGGAGGGGAGAGGGGAGAGTGGAAGGGTCTGTGCCCGTCTGAGAGGGACCGTGCTCCCCAGGTGCTTGGAGCAGCTCACAGGGCTGCTGGCTCCACTGCTGCTCCCAGCATCCGCGGCACAGTGGGGAGCCCCAGAGTTTGGGTGCAGCAGCAGCAGAGCCTTAGCAGATCCTGGAGAAGGTGTTGTGGAGGGGAAGGCAGCGGGGCCGTGTTGGTGTGGGGTTGCACAAGCTCCAAGCACGGCTCCAGCAGCCCCACAGATTGCGCTCACCCCACCGCTCTGCCTTGCAGGGCACGGCGATGCGCTCTCCCATCCGCACCCACACTTTGGCTCCGTCTACCACGTGCGAGGTAACGGCCCCACACCAGCACCCACAGCACCCTGCTCTGTGGGGGGAGAGGAGGGCGCTCAGAGCTGAGCCAATATGGGGGTGGTTCACTGCGTGCGTTGGTGGGGGGACTGCAGGGATCTGCAGCTGGTTTTGGCTGCAGGACTGCATCCTCTGCGTCCTGTGGTGCATGCGGTGCGGTCAGGGCTTGGGGAGGGATGCCGGGTGCCGGGGCTGAGCTGGATGTCCTGCAGGGGTTATCAGTCTGCCCTATGCCGAAATCGAGGAGCCCTTTGAAGCCTGGTACAACCTGACAGGGAACAAGAGCCGGATCCAGTATTATGGGGGTAAGTGCTCTCGGTGCACCCATCTGTCCCTGTGCAGAAAGCTGAGGTGGGATCACCGTGCCTCAGTTTCCCCTGCCCGGCGCAGGGCAGGTGATCACATACCAGCTGGCTGGGGTGAAGCCCTATGGGATGCGCTACAAGATCACCCCTGAGACCACCGAGAAGGAGGTGAACGTTCGGAAATGCTTCCAGCTGCCCGGATCCAAAGAGGACGTGGTCAAAGCTCAGAGCGTCTTCCCCAGCTTGGATGGCTTCAAGGTGAGGGGTGGGAGGTGCCGGAGCCTGGAGCCGACCCCTGCCTGGAGCGTCGCTCAGGATGGGCGCTGCGCAATGCGCCGATCCCTGCAGGGCGCTGGGCAGGCTGCAGCACATCCTGCACCCACGGGCTCAGGGAGGGTCATTTCCCCACCCGCACTGGGGCCGGACGCCCGACTCCTTTCCCAATCCTGAGAAATGCTGGGACGTGCCACAGCCCATGCAAATGCCGGCGTGTTGGGATGGCCTGGGCAAGTCGTTGCATGGAGGCTCTGCTCCTGATGTCCGCAGGCTCTGGGGCAGCACCAACAGCATCCTGTGTGGGGAACGTGAGAGACACAGCTGCTGGATCTGCCCCGGGAGTCTGGCATGGGCGCCCAAGGCAGTGTTGGGTGCCCAAAGCGACTTCGGGTGCCCAAAACAATGACGGGTGCCCAAAGCGAGGATGGTGACCCAAAGAGATGTTGGGTGCCCAGGGAGTCGTGAGTTTGGGATCCATGCAGGGTTGGCACCCCAAACACCCATCCTCATCCCCCCAGTTCCTGCGGGAGGAGTATTACCAGGGCCGGTACTGCGCCGTGTGGCAGAACATCACCCGCTGGGAGCAGAAGAAGAACGTCTACACGCTGTGGGTGACCAACTCCAGCTGTGGGGTGGCCCCGGTGCACTACGAGATGCGGGGCTACAACAGCCTGCTGGGCTCCCACTACGACAAGTATGAGATCTCCTACACAGAATTTGACAACAGCTTCCCTCCGTCCATCTTTGACATCCCAGTGAACGGTGAGCGGGGCTGGGACCCCACCTCAGCGCCGGGGAGAACTTGGGCTGACGGCGTTCGCCTCATTGCACCCCAGAGACGAAGAAATGTGGGCTGCTGCCGGGAAGCGTGGCGGAGCACCGTGTGCTGGCAAATCCCATGGAGGATCTGGTGGGGAGGCACCGACCGTGGGCACACGCCGTGTTCCACCACTACCGCCGGCGCTTCGGGCGGCACTACGGCTCAGCACGGGAGCTGGAGCACCGGCAGCGCATCTTCGTGCACAACATGAGGTAAACGGGCACAGGGAGACCCACGGGGGAGACCCCCACCCTTCTGGGGACACGGTGGGCTGAGAGGTGCCACCCCAACGCCCAGGTTTGTGCACTCCAAGAACCGTGCCGCGCTCTCCTACTCGCTGGCGCTGAACCACCTGGCTGACCGCACGCCCCAGGAGATGGCTGCAATGCGGGGACGGCGCCGGAGCGGGGACCCCAACCATGGGCTGCCCTTCCCTGCTGAGCACTACGCTGGAATCATCCTGCCCGAGAGCCTGGACTGGAGGATGTACGGTAAGGAGGGACCCGGCCTGGCTGGGAGCATGGAGAGCCCTCACTCCTGCCTCGGTTTCCCTTCACACCCCACTGGTGTCCCGCTGTCCCCAGGCGCGGTGACCCCCGTGAAGGACCAGGCTGTCTGCGGGTCCTGCTGGAGCTTCGCCACCACGGGCGCCATGGAGGGGGCCCTCTTCCTCAAGGTGGGAGCGGGGACCCAACGCTTTGGGGTGGTCGGAGGCTTCCTGTCCCTGTCCCTACACTGTGTCCCCCTGCAGACCGGTGTGCTGACCCCGCTGTCCCAACAAGTCCTCATCGACTGCTCCTGGGGCTTTGGGAACTACGCGTGTGATGGGGGTGAGGAGTGGAGAGCCTACGAGTGGATCAAGAAGCACGGCGGCATCGCCAGCACAGAGTCCTACGGCACCTACAAGGGGCAGGTGAGGGTGGCCCTGTGTCCCAGTTGGGTCCCCTGCTGTTGGGGAGCCCCGTGAGCCCTGCTTGGAGATGGTCCCCATCAGATGCTCACAGACTCTGGTGATGGGGAAACTACCCTAGGGCACGAGAGTCCCCATGGTTCCACGCAGGCTGAAGCCAAGCCCTGCGGCTCAGCCAGGTTTCATCACTGCCTCAATTTCTTTTCTTGCAAAACAGGGACGATGCTCCTCCGCCCATGGGAGTGTTGCATCCCCGCGGTGCAGGGATGGAGCAGGGCTGCCTGGGGACAAGGACAGGGCAGAGCGAGGGGGTTGGGTGCACTGTCTGGGACATTGGGCAGGAGGGGCTGAAGCAGGGATGCTGGCACGTCCCCAACCCCACATCAGCCCCTGTGTCAGAGCAAGGGGCAGCCTTGCGAGGGGACGTGGGTGCCCCCGATGATGCAGCCCCCACTGGTGCCACAGAACGGCTTGTGCCACTACAACCAGTCTGAGATGCTGGCCAAGATCACGGGTTACGTCAACGTCACCTCTGGCAACATCACTGCTGTCAAAACCGCCATCTACAAGCACGGCCCCGTGGCTGTCAGCATCGATGCCTCGCACAAGACCTTCTCCTTCTATTCCAATGGGATCTACTACGAGCCCAAGTGCGGTGAGTGGGGTGGCATGCAGGGATTGGGGTTCTGGGGGTGATGCCAAGACTCCCAAGTCCCCCATCTTGCTGTTGAGTAGCTTTGGCAGGGCTGGAGGAGGTGAGCGGCCCCATATGGGAGGGTCAGGTGGGATATTAGGAGAAATTCTGCGATCACAGATCACACAAATGATAAGCATCTCCAGGACCGCTCTCCCCACAAGACCATTTCCCTTGTTGTCCCTGCAGCAAACAAGCCAGGACAGCTGGACCACGCAGTGCTGGCTGTGGGCTACGGCGTCCTGCAGGGAGAGACCTACTGGCTCATCAAGAACTCCTGGTCCACCTACTGGGGCAACGATGGCTACATCCTCATGGCCATGAAGGACAACAACTGCGGCGTGGCCACCGAGGCCACCTACCCCATCCTGGCCTAAAACACCTCTCTGAGGGCAGAGCCTTTGGTGGTGCTCCCAGCACACATCCCTGGATCGGAACCTTCAGTGGGACCTCGTGGTGGAGGAGGAAGATGGGGACGTGGTGGGACAGGACAGCGGGGTGCTGGAAAAGCAGCCATAAGCTTGCCAATAAAGACCCTGGAAAAACACGATTTGGTTTCTATGGCAGGGATTCAGTTGGTGGCTGGCTGGCTCAGCACAGTTCCTTGCTCCAGCCCTGGGGGACCGCAGGGCCCTCCTGGGGAGGGGACAGTGGCATTTGCAGCATCTCAGCTGCCCATGGGGAGGCTCCTGCAGCCCTATCTTGAGGTGGAGCACAAACAACTGCAGGATTTCTGCTGAGCAGAGACATTCTTGATGCACGGGGGGAGCAGCCACCCTCTGCCCCAGTGCCTGGGCTGTGCTGGGGCCAGAGCGAGATGGTGGCACTCGGGGCAGCACTGTGTTTTCCACACCCTGGGGGGCTGCTCCCCTCTGTGGGGGTCTCTGCTGTACCCTCAGACCATTGCTCATCGGTGTGCAAAGGCAGAGCCTCTGCTCCTATAGGACTGGGGCATGTGGGGAATGCTGCAGCACGGAGGGCACCACCCACATGTGTCCCCAGCAGCCCTCCAGCACCCAGCTCCTATCTGCCTTGTTTGGGGTTCGCCGTCACCTTGGGCAGGGCTCCAGCTGGATGTGCTGCAGGCAGGAGGGGTGAAGGCCGCCACTGCAGGGACAGTGCTGCTCTCCTTGTCCACGTAGCTCCTGAGATGTGATCTATATTTTCCTCCTTTTTTTTTTTTTTCAGTTAACTCCCATAACTGCAGCCCCTGGGTTTGTGCTGCTGGCTTATCCAAAGGGATGCAGAAATGCAAAGTCCCCATGGCTCCAGTGGGGACATTCTGCCAGGAGGGTGGGAGCACCAGAGGGGACTTTGCTTTCTTGCTCTCCTGGCGCAGCTGATGAGGTTCACCTGCAGCTCCTGCACTGCTGTTAAGTGCTGCTGCAAGCTGCAGGCAGCAGAGCCTTGGGAGGGAGCACAGAGGTCCCCCCAGCCCCCCCAGTCCCTGGGTGCTCGTGGTGGGGCAACCCAAAGCCACCCCCCCCTTCCTCCCATGGTCCCATCCTGGCTCTGGGAGGGCTGTGCCTGTTGGCTGCAGCCAGCTCCCTGCCCACCCAGTGCTCCTATTTAAGCAGGGCAGTGGGTGGGGGTGGGTGAGTGCAGGATGGGAGGCTGGGGGTGGTTGCTGGTGCTTAGGGCTGCAGTGCTGCTGGGTGAGCGCTCAATGTGAGCGGCGGGAGGGGAAGGGGTGAGGACTGTGCCCTCTTCACGGGGAGATGGCCCCCGAGTGGTGCTGAGCTCTGCCTTGTCCCCATGCCAGGGAGGAGTGGGGACCCCTTCCCAGCTTCAGAATCCTCTGCCCTGGATGGGCAAAGTGGGAGCCCTGCTCTGCACCTCCCCTGCTCTGCCCCTTCTACCTGGGGTTTTATACAGGCATTGAGCCAGGGACCAGCTCAGCTGCCAGCCCTGCCCTTGGAGAGGTGGGCAAGCAGCGTTTTAAAGGGCTTTAAAAATTATTGCTTCCCTTTTCCCTTCCAGGAGCAGAGAGCGAAGCTCCTCCAGAGAGACCCACGTTTGGAGATGTCTATCATGTTGAAGGTACTGCTGGGGGGGTCCAGCACCTCTGGGTGCTGCTGGGTGGCTGCTGTGGGTGGGATCAGCGGGGTGACACCATGGGGTGCCCACAGGAGCCATCAGCCTGCCCTACGCCGAGATCAGGGAGCCCTTTGAAGCCTGGTACAACCTCACAGGGGAGAGGAGCCGCATCGAGTATTACGGCGGTGGGTGCAGAGAGCTCACGGCCTCCCCACGGAGCCACCCCAGTGCCAGCACCACGGCTGGAACCCAGCGCTGTCCCATCCCCAGGCCAAGTGGTCACCTTCCAGTTCGGCTCCATGGGGCCTTTTGGTGCCAGCTTCAAGGTGACACCAGAGACCACGGAGACGGAGCTGAATGTCCGCAAATGTTTCCGCATCAACGGCACGGACGGGGATCTCATCGTCCCACAGAGCGTCTTCCCCAGCCTGGAGCACTTCAGGGTGAGCCCTGGGCACGGTGACTGGGAGTGAGACAGGGGAGGGGACGGGACAGCGATGGGCATGGTGGGTGCCACCAGAGCTCCCAGAGAGGGGCAGAAGCGGTTGGGAATGGGGCAAATGCGAGGCCAGGTCCAAGCCTGGCATTCTGGAGGGCACTGCGCAGCTGGGGGCGCGGTGGCACTGAGGTGTTGCTGACATTCCGTGCTCAGAGGGTGCGGGAGGAGCAGTTCCACGGGCAGCCCTGCACCGTATGGCAGAACATCTCCTACTGGGGCCATAAGAAGAACGTCTACACGCTGCGGGTGGGCAGCTCGATGCACGGCCCTGTGCCCCTGCATTATGAGGTGCGGGGCTACAACAGCCTGCTGGGCTCCCACTACGACAAATACGAGATCGAGTACAGCGCCTTCGGGCACCGCTTCGACCCCAGCATCTTCCAGCTCCCACACGGTGAGCCACCCCACAGCCCACAGCCCTCCTCCATCCCACAGGGGATGTGCCTGCACGAAACACAGCTCTGTGTCCTCCTCTTGAACGTGCTTCAATGAAGTTGCATGCACCCTCTAATTTGGGGCAATAGGTTCAGGAGAAGGGGAGGTGGGAAAATAGGTGAAAATGATAACTAGTGATCCCAGTGTTGAGGAACCCTGTTTTGGTGCAGTGAAGGGATGCTCCAGCTCTGGTTGCAGATGCAGATCCCCCATGCAGACCCCTACAGAAGGCGGGCACTGGGCGCAGCTCCTGCATGCAGACCCCTATATAGGGCGGGCACTAGGCACAGACCCTGCATGCAGACTCCTTTTGAGGGCAGGCACTGGGTGCACACCTTGCATGCATCTATATAGGGCGGGCACCCCACGGTCTGCAGGTGCCATCCACCCTGCTGCGGGGTCAGGAGCTGCTGTCCATGCCCCGAGGCTGCAGCCCCGCTCCGTGCCCCATAGGTTTGCCGTGTGAGCAGTGGCCCACAGCCGGCCCCGAGCACCGCATCGTGGCCAACCCCATGCAGGAGTTTGTGGGGACTGCCCCGGACACTGAGCACGTCCACCACCGCCTCTTCCATCACTATAAGGAGAGGTTTGGGAAGCGCTACAGCAGTGAGGAGGAGCACGAGCACCGCAAGAGAACCTTCATCCACAACATGCGGTGCGTATGGGGCGGCGGGTGGAGAGCCGGGGGCTCGCAGGGGCTCCCCTGAACTCACAGCATCTCTCCCCATCCCCAGGTTTGTGCACTCCAAGAACCGTGCCGCGCTCTCCTACTCGCTGGCGCTGAACCACCTGGCTGACCGCACGCCCCAGGAGATGGCTGCAATGCGGGGACGGCGCCGGAGCGGGGACCCCAACCATGGGCAGACCTCCTCCATGCAGCTCTACACCGGACTCATCCTGCCCGAGAGCCTGGACTGGAGGCTGTATGGTGAGGAGGGACCCGGCCTGGCTGGGAGCATGGAGAGCCCTCACTCCTGCCTCGGTTTCCCTTCACAACCCACTGGTGTCCCGCTGTCCCCAGGCGCGGTGACCCCCGTGAAGGACCAGGCTGTCTGCGGGTCCTGCTGGAGCTTCGCCACCACGGGCGCCATGGAGGGGGCCCTCTTCCTCAAGGTGGGAGCGGGGACCCAACACTTTGGGGTGGTCGGAGGCTTCCCGTCCCTGTCCCTACAGCGTGTCCCCCCGCAGACCGGCGTGCTGACCCCGCTGTCCCAACAAGTCCTCATCGACTGCTCCTGGGGCTTTGGGAACTACGCGTGTGATGGGGGTGAGGAGTGGAGAGCCTACGAGTGGATCAAGAAGCACGGCGGCATCGCCAGCGCCGAGTCCTACGGGCCTTACCTGGGACAGGTGAGGGTGCTGGGGGTGCTCACACCCCATCCTCCCATCCAGGATATGAGGTGCAGGGAGAGGCTCCTCCAGATCCGCCATCATCTCTTCGTTGGCGGATGGCTGCTCCCCTTTGGTTTGGTTATTCTTTGCTGGGGTGGGTTGGATCCCCTATAAACCTGCCCTGGGCCATGATGTCACCCCAATGTCCCCCCCCCAGAACGGTTACTGCCACTACAACCAGTCGGAGCTGGTGGCCCCTCTCAGCGGCTACGTCTCTGTGGAGCCAGGCAATGCTGAAGCTCTGAAAGCTGCGCTGTTCAAGCACGGCCCTGTAGCTGTCAACATCGATGCCTCACACAAGTCCTTCACCTTCTATGCCAACGGGGTCTACGAGGAGCCCCACTGTGGTGAGGGGGGTGGTGGAACCCGGTGGAGATGATGGAAATGAGGACGGATGGAGATGGGGATGATGGGGGTCTGTGGATAGGTGGCGATGGGGATGGGTGGAGACGGGCATGGGGATGTCTTATTCTGTTTTCCTCGCAGGGAATGAGACGTCAGAGCTGGACCACGCAGTGCTGGCTGTGGGCTACGGCGTCCTGCACGGCAAGAGCTACTGGCTCATCAAGAACTCCTGGTCCACCTACTGGGGCAACGATGGCTACATCCTCATGGCCATGAAGGACAACAACTGCGGCGTGGCCACTGCTGCCTCCCTCCCCATCCTGGCCTGATGGGACGATGGAGAGCCCCATGCAGGCACTGTCCTCACTGTGCCCCTCTATGCAGGCGGGGGGAAAGCAGAGGGACACGGGGCTCTGCGAGGTGGCTGCGGGGTGGAGGAGCACCACCCCACCTACTGGGAGGGCAGACCTGTGTGGAGGTACTTTATCAACACAGCAATCAACATCTATAGAGAAGCGACCCCATCCATCCTGCTGGCTGTGCTCTGTCACCCTTAGCCCACCTGCGAAGCCCATCCCCTACACCCGACAGCATCCCCCTGCATCTGTGCTCGTGCGTGGGCTGCATCCTCCCAAAATGGTGGCAGAGAGCAACAGCTACACCCTCACTGTGCCCAGCAAACGGGCCGGGGAGCTGCTGTGCTCCCTCACCACGCAGCCACGTCCTTCCCTGATTGCTCCCGATTGAGGGTGGCAGGTCATAATATTTTCTTGTTTTCCTTCCCTTGTTCACCTGCTTATTTTACAATTTGCTGCACTGATTTCTGAAGTGGTCTTTAATCATTCCCAGCAGGGGTGCTGACTCGAATTCACGTCTGGGAGAGAAACGATCACCGTGCAGGAATAATGTGGTTTATTCCGTGGGAGTCTGGGTCTCCAGATCTTTGATTCTCTCGGCTGCAGTCAATAAAACACGCTTTGACTTTCAGGGAACCGTGACTTTCAGGCTCCCTTTGGATGGGTGATGCTGTGAATTTGCTGCTGAACACGCAGGAGGCTCTGGGAGCTGCAGGCTGTGCACCCCCAGAAGCATTTATCAGGAGCTGAAAATCTTGCATTTGTGGCAGTGGGGGAAGCAGAGGCTCCAAGTGGGGGTTGTTGAGCAGGGATGGGACTTTAAATTAAGGTCGGTTTGTTTTCTTTGGAAAAGGATTTAGGGATGGAGGTGTCTGAGAAGAGGTCTGCTGCTGCAGAACCGCCATCCCAGAGCAGTTCTGGGGGAAACGCCCTGGATTTGGTACTGGGTGGTGAAACAGAGCTGAGCTCAGTGTGCTTCAAGGGAATGAGTGCTGCCCTGTGCACGAAACGTGATTTCATCCCCTCCATCCAGCCCCACAGCATTACGTGGTGCCTGTAACCGCACTGCTGCAGAAGCCAAAGGTGAGACGTGGGGTGGCAGGCTGTCCTTTGGCACCGTGGGTCCTCACACGCCCGGCCACGTGAGCACGCATGGCTGGGGAGCAGAGGGCTCCGAGCTTCTCATCTCAGCAAGGACCGTTTCCACTCTGCCAAGCCAGAAGAGGCAGAGCAGGACTTTGTGGTACACTTCCAGTAGGGCTGGCAGCCTCCTGGCTGCCCCTCTGTGACCCCAGGCCGTGCGCCACCACAGCGTCCCCACGACGAGGACACAAACCTGGGGGGGACGATCCCGGCTCCACGCTGGGCTCTGACCCACGCGCTCTGAGCCCTGTGCTGGCTGAGACATGGAGCGAGATGAAACAGCACAGCCCTCAAACAACACCCCTCCCACACTGCGAGGCTGTTTTGTTCCAGCAAAATGTGCATTCTGCGGGTGAGAGCATCCAGATCTGCAGGATCAATCTGTCCACACGGCCAGAAACTCGGGGCGGGCTGCGTCTGCCAAGGTAAACGATCCCCCGAGGGAGGGAGGTGGGGATTTCAGCTGGGTTTGCTTCGCGCCCTGCCCTGGGCTGTGCTGGATGCTGCATTTCCCTCCAGAGACAGCTGTGCTCCGGCACGGACCTCTGTGCAGCAATGCCAGGTGGCCACAAAACACTCTCCAGCCCCAAAGCTGGCTGCCTTTCAGCGCCGGATGAATTATCTGTGAAAACCTCTGGTGGCTCGCACAAAACAAGGTAATTATTCAGAAAGCAGGGGGACACGGAGAGAGCCAGCATCTGAAAATATTATCTGTGAGTGATTTAGAGAACCACAGGCAGAGCCGGAGAACAGCAGCTGGATCAAAGCGGGTTTGGCAATTCCTTGGCTCCCAGATGCTCCATCCGAGAGGGGGGCTGTCATGAACTCCCAGTTGGGGTCAGGGCTCCTCGGGTCGCTCTGCAGCCAGCAGGACATGTGTTGCACAGCCCTTCGGCTTTATGATGACAAAGCTTACGATTCGGGGCAGAAAAGCTTGCTTTTGGCCACAGAAACCACAGCATTTGGGGGCACAAGTGATCGTGTCCAGAAAGACCTAAGTGATTGCAAGAGCTCTGCAAGACAGTTTGCTCAAAGCTGCTTTGCTGCTAACGAGGCTATGCTGGAAAATCACTGAGGCAGTGGCTTTTTAAACGTTTCTTCTTACACTTCCCTCAGTAGCAGCTTTACAAACCCTCTTCCTTAGCCAAACGTCCTTCCCTTGGCGACTGTGACGGCTCTGGCAGGTTTGTTGTTCTAAAATGAACCGCTCCTCTTGCTCAGCTCCAGAGATTTGCAACCCACCCCTCTCCCTCCACACTTTTCGGAGGTTTCATTCCTTGGCATTTACGTTTTCCAGGTGTGCTGTCAAACCCCTCCGGAAGTCCTCCTCCACCTCCACCCCATTTCCCTAAGAAACCATTCTCAGAGCATCCCAGCCCCCTGGGCAACGAGGAGGGTTTTGTTTCACGCTACCCACCGCCTCTGCCAAGCTCTGCCTTCTGCTCTCACCCACCGCTATTTCCCAATCACCATCCAGCACGCAGCACAGTGCAACAAATTTCATGAAATCAAGTATTTCTCCTACACACGGCATATTTGCCCGGTGATTATAACTAGTCCCCGAGGTAGCCAAGCACAGCAGAATTTCAGTTTAATATGCACACCCACGCAGCCTTGCTAAAAACCCAAGACACTCCCCCGGTCCTTCTCGGGAAAGGCTGAGCGCTGCGGTGAGCATCTCCTATTTCAGCTTCACCGCTTGCACGAACCACGCCTGGGAATACTCTGTGAGCCACCGTGCAGAGAACAAAAAGGTGGGGAAATAAAGTTTCCTAAAGATTTCCAGGTATCCCCGATGGCCCAACAGTGAGAGGGGTTTGAGAACTCAGGAATGTCAGACAGCACAGACACACAGACCGGATCACACACAGCAACCGGATCACGCCGCTGTGCCTTTATGAACACAACCACCAGTAGTTGCTGCTTTATGTGCTTGCTTTGTCTTGGATTTAGAGAGTGAACTTTTAACTCCAAAGCGCTTTAGTTCCCTCATTTGTTTGGGCAGGCAGCAGGACTGTACTGTTCGCAGCACCTGTGAGTGTCACGCTGTAAAAATGACAAAGACTCCATTTAAAACACAGAGCAATTCCCCACTGTTTGCGCAGCAGATGGTTTACCCTCACCTCACACCCACAGCAAAACAGAGGCAATTTTCCCAACGGCGCAAGCTGCAAACCGCAGCACCCAACCTGGGGTGTAAACACAGCAAGCTGCAATTTGCATTGCTGATCCTGCCCCAAACGTGAGGAGATCCACCCCCACAGATCACAGCTTGCTGTGGCTGCGCCTGGGGCTTGCAGATGTGCAACTGCCCTCACAGCAACCACCGACTTCTGCAGTTGGTGCAAAAAGGGAAACAACCCCGCGAGGAAGTTCTCCTTTTGCTGCAGATGCCACCTCCTGCCTCACTCTCCCTTCCTTTTCCTCCAATTCGTACATCTGACCCTTTAGGCACAGCTGCGGCTGCACTACGGCAGCCACCAGCCATCTCCCAGCTCTACTTTCAGGCCGAGCGACCCTGCAGCCTCCTGCTCTTTCCTCCTCTAGCCCTCGCTCTCCCTCAGCACCCCACGGCCCGAGCCGTCCTCTCCCATCCTCACACAGGACAGCTATGGCTCTCACTGATCCCTGGTGATGCCTTTCCCCATCCTTCAGCCCTCGGACCGGTCTCGGCCCTGCCCTCATCTCTGGGCAGACCCAGACCCAGACTGAGAACCAGGCCCTGTTTCCTGCCGTCACCCTCCTCCAGCTTTTGCACATGCTGGCTGCTGGCCAGGCCGGCCTAGCTCAGCTCCTGCACTCAGCCCAAGCCCGGCCCAGCTCACTCCTCGCCCGCATCCCTGCGCTCACGCAGGCCCTGCCCACCCTCTGCCCTCAACCCCATCCGCCCCACTTCCACTTCCGCTTCCGGTTCCCCTCCCCCACCCCCAACCCCAACTCCAACCCCGCGCAATGCCTTCTGGGTCGCCCCCGCCCGTCGTGCTCTCGCGCGACCTCCCCGTCGCCCCGCGCGCGCCCCCGCGGCGGTTACATCACAGTAACGCGCCCCGCGTGACGTCAGCGTTCCTCTCCCTTTCCCCAACGCCCGCGGAGGGGAAAGGGCGGAGGGGAGGGGAGGAGGCGGCTCCGCCCCGCCCCATTTCTAGAACGACGTCTGCGCGAACCAATGAAAAACCGGATCGCCGTGAGCGATGCGGAAAGCAGCCAATGAGAGAGGCGGAACGGTCGGCGGGGGGGTGGAGCCGGAGGGCGGGAGGCCGCGGCGGTTTGGGCTGCGCCTGTCAGCGCGGCGGCGGGATGGCGGCGCTGTACGCCTGCACCAAGTGCCACCAGCGCTTCCCCTTCGAGGCGCTCAGCCAGGGCCAGCAGCTCTGCAAGGTCCAGGGGACGGCCGGCAGCGGGGGGAGCGGCTGGGGCTGAGGGTCACGGAGTTAAAGGCTGGGGGGCCTCTGAGGGAAAGGCGTGTTTGGGGGAGGAGGCGGGGAGGTAAAAGGGGATCCTGAGGTAAAATGGGGGTGGGAGGAGGGGGGGGGTTAGGTGTAAAGGCTGTGGGTTAAGGATGTGGGGAGGCTTCTGAGGTGAAGTCGGGGGTACTGAAGGAAAAGGGGGTCCTGAGGTAAAGCGGGCGTGATTTTTTGGTAGAGGGGGCGCTGAGAAGGAAATGGGGATGTCCTGAGGTGAGCTGGGGGTCCTGAGGTGAGGGGGCCTGAGGTGAATTGGGGATGGTCCTGAGATGGGAGTTGAGGGTCCTGAGGTGAATTGGAGATCCTGAGGTGAATTAGGGGGTCCTGAGATAAGATGGGGGGTCCTGAGCTGAGGGGGAGGGGGGCCTTGAGATGAATTGGGAGTCCTGAGGTGAAGGTGAGGGGGGGGGTCCTGAGGTGAATTATGGGGTCCTGAGGATAGAGAGGCACCTCTGAGGGAGAGGAGGGGGGTCCCTGAGTTGAAGGGGGGTTCCTGAGGTAAATTGGGGTGGAGAGATCTGAGGTAAAGTGGGGGTGGTTCAGGTGTAAAATTGGAAGAGTTCTGAGGGGAAGTGAGGCATCCTGAGGTGAAGTGGGAGGGTACTGAAGCAGACAGGAGGTGTTGAGGAAAACTGGGGGGGTCTTGGGGGTAACGGAGGTGCCTCTGAAGAAAAATGAGGAGTGCAGTGGTAAGGGGGGGATCCTGAGGGAAAGTGGGAGTGGGTCTTGGTGTTCAGGTGAGAGGCCTTTGGGGGGAGGTTCTTGAGGTAAGTTGGGGGGTCTTGAGGGAAAGTGAGGGGGGATGGGGCAGCAGGGATGTTGTGTTTGAGTGAGGGCAGCTGGGAGGGGATTTGGGGACACTTAGAGGGCTGCTTGGGAGGAGGCCCTTGGGGGCTTCTAGGGTGGCTGAAGTCTTGGATTGGGGGCATTTTGGGACTCATCAAGGAGAAGTATAGTGGGGGGGCTTGGGGTGAATGGAAGTGGCTGTGGGGGTGGGGTCATGGGGGGCATTTGGGGAAAGAGAGGGGTCAGGGGGCAGTTGGGAGAGTCTGGGGACTTGGGGGTGTGGTGTTGGGAGATTATGAGGGGCTGTTGCTTGGGGAAACTGGAAAGCACCGAAGGCTGTTTAGGGGTGTGGGGGCATTTGGGAGGGAGTCACAAAGCTGTTGGGAGGATGTTTGGGGCTTATATGGGGGGTGGGGGGGGCTGGGAGCTGAGGGTCACTGGAGGCTCCTTGTGGCATCTGAGGGTACTGAGTGGACACTTGAGTCGGAAGGCCTGGGGACATCAGAAGGGCTGCTTGAGAGGGTGGCTCATAGCAAGACCAGAGGTGTGGGGTGGCCCAAGGTGTTTGTGGGGAGTCTGGGGACGTTTAGGGGCAGCTTTTATGGTATCTTGAAGGGCGGAGATAAATCTTGGGAGGCAACCTGAGTGGGGAAGAATGAGAACAGGGGTGAGACGGAGAAGGGGGAGAACATGGAATGGAGCACCATGGGGTGGGTGACGGGGATGGGGCAATTCAGGCAGGTGGAGGGAAACCTCCTGAGTGTGCTGGGGAGAGAAGAGAGCTGAGCTGGAGACGCTCTGGGCACAGGAAGCTTTGGAGAGCAGGGAGGTGAATAACTGTGATAGGACTGCGTGTTTTGCACCGGAGGTGAGGCCAGCAGTGAGCCTCGTCTGTGGGCGTTGGGCACAAATAGCCCTTGTTACAAATCACGGTTTACTTCTGGGTCACCTGTGACACACGGCTTTCCTGTCAGCCTTCCTCTGCTCTCAGCCCTCCTAAGAGCAGCCGTGACTACAGGGAGGAAACGTGTGGAGTTTGATGGGTGTGGGTGCGCGTGGTGGGAGTGCAGGTCAGCGGGGGAGCTGGGCTGTGGGGAAATGACGTGTGGGAGGAGCAGCGCCCCTCACAGCATGCTGTGTTGTTGCAGGAGTGCCGGATCGCGCATCCCATCGTTAAATGCACCTACTGCAGGACTGAATTCCAGCAGGAAAGGTAAATGACCGGCGTGCTGAGCAGGCTGATGTTTTCCCTAGGACGGACGCACCTGGCGAACCGTAATGTTCCCACACCTTGGATGGCTGAGCCTGGTTGTTGTTGTGGGAGACCTTTGGCCTTAAACGTCTGCTGGGCAAGCCAGTGTGCCTGTGCAGCGTGCTTACATGCGCACCTATCGCTTGTTCTTTGGTTTGGTCAGCACTCGCCAGCATCTTCCAGTAAAGGATCCGGGGGGGATCTTCCCATGAGTTTTCTGCTACCTGATTCTGGTGTCTAAAAATGCTTTGATGCGCTTCCTGTAGCTGCGGTTCTACCTTTTGTGAGTTGTGTGGATTACAGAGGGAGGAGAGGTGAACCCGGGAGCTGACGAGCATAACTTGTGCAGACACAGCGTGGGGTGTTCTTTCCTGTGTTTGTTGGACAAATATACCTCTGTGCCTGACCTGCCTTAACCCTGTAATCGAGCACAGACCTCCTCCAGAAGTGAGGCTGTCACTGTGCTGAATCATGCCTGCTGCCAATTAGCCACTGATCAGACGCCCGCATTTGGCAGGACGAAAAAACTGGCGTCATTTGGGGATGCCTTAATTAAAAGATACCTCGTAGTAAAACTGCTTTTGGCCAAGTATCCTCAAGCAGATGGGAAGAGGAAATGCACTTTGGTGTCAGGGTCCATAGTGAAGTTGAATGCAGTCTTGCCACTAGAGACAGAGCCTGGGGGAGCCTGGGATCCTGACCACAGAGGTGTAGTTTTCTCTGGGGAGGCGTTAATGACACAGTCTGTCCTTCTTCACAGCAAAACCAACACAATATGCAAGAAGTGTGCTCAGAACGTGAAGCTCTATGGCACAGTAAGTGAGTGGGGCTCGTTCTCAGCCTCTTTCTCCTTTCATCTTTCTTGCCTTTATCCTGCCGAGTCCCAAAGCAGTTTATGGGCTGGCTCGGTTGTAATAGCGTGGTTGATCAGTAATATGCAGGTCTCTTTTCCCTTTTCTTTTGGTATGAAAAAGAGCAGCTCCACATCATCTTAGGTCAGGAAATGAGCCGTTCTGTATCGAATTGAAACAACAATGCGGTCGTACAAACTGAGGTTGCTTACTGGAAGCAGTGATAAATCTGTTTTCCTGCTTGTGTGAAATCCGAAGCAGAGATTTGGATTGTTTCTGTTTTGGTGATAAATATTCCTGAAGATTTCCTAACACTTGATCAAGGCTTTTGTGCCTGAATAAACTTGGCTGGAGACCAGGGGGCCAAGCGTAGTCACGTCTGCTGGATAGTCAGCTTCTATAGGGAAATAGATGTTTAGGAGTGCTGGGGGGAAGGGGAAAAAGCAATGCTCTGATGTCATCAGGAGGCACTGCCATCTTCACCTCTCTTGTTCCTTTAAGCCAAAACCTTGCCAGTACTGCAACATCATCGCAGCGTTCATTGGCAACAAGTGTCAGCGCTGCACAAACTCAGAGAAGAAGTACGGACCTCCCCACTCCTGTGAGCAGTGCAAGCAGCAGTGTGCCTTCGACAGGAAGGATGACAGAAAGAAGGTCAGTATCTCTGTTAAAAGGCTGGAAAGGCAGAGGGGCTGATCGCAGTGGCTCTACCTTCCTCTCACAGATCTTGAGTGTTTCTTTAGGGGATGCCTCTTGACTGTAAAATAGTTTTTGCAGTTGCATTTTGCTTTGGGAGCCGTATTTTGGAGCTGTTTATCCTTTGTGCCCTTTGCTCCTTTGCCAGATCTTTTGAGAAAGATCTCTTGAATTTGGCATGAGGGCAGGTGAGGGAGCAAAGGAGGTGGGGCCTCTGAGGTGCCTGCAGGGGGACGGATGGGAGCAGTACTGGTGCTGCAGCCTGAGGTGCTGGAAACGTGTTCCCCCACAGCTGTCCCTTAGCTCCTGCACATCCTTTATTTAAATAACACCAGAGCTTCTTACTTGTGTACTTCTAAAGCCTGCTTTCTGCAGGCTATAAAGATCTATTGTCTGTTTGGAATCCTGTCCTCCTGCTGATCCTCCTTGAGCAGAAACTGTGGCTCTTGTGCTCTCCAGCGACTGCCCTGTCATCTGCCAGTCCTTGGCTCTCCTTTGACAGAAATCCCAGTGGAATCGGCCCGTTCCAATGATGTCCTGGGTGTTAAAAGGGTCTGTAAGCAGAGCTGGAAAGAGACTGGAGTTAGGATGAGTTAGCTGCTGTTAATGAGTGCCTTGCACCAGCCATGCCAAGTGCTTTTCTAAGCACTCAAGGGATCCTTTTTGAATTGCTGCTCGTTTGTATGTCGTCTTAAAGCCTGAAGGTGCTTCTTGTCTTCTCTGCTTTGTTTGTGGGCAGGAAGCAAGACAAAAATGTCTCTCTTTCATGCCCTCCAGGTGGATGGAAAGCTGCTCTGCTGGTTATGCACACTGTCCTACAAACGGGTCCTACAGAAGACCAAAGAGCAGTGCAAGCACCTGAGCAGCTCCTCCCGAGCCAGCCTGCAAGAGAAGGAGCAGTACAGCAGGCTGAGCAGCGGCAGCCATTACAACAGGTAGCCTGCACAGGCAGCTCTGTCGTGCAGGGCTGAGCAAAGGGGTGAGCAAAGAGAAGCCAGGCTGCTGCACTCAGCTGCCAGGAACGTGGAGCAGCAAGCACTGCTCTTGTTGGCTGCAGGCAGCTCAGCCAGCCTCGCTCCTTCGCGGCCTCTTGTCGTGCTGCAGACTTGTGATCTTGTGATCAAACTTGGGGCAGTTCTTGGTGATTCTTCTTCCTGGACTTGTCTGCAGTTAAAGCTGAGTTGGGTCTGTAAAATCTGATGATTGAAATACGGATTTGAAGCACGAGTTCCTCACTGCTGCTGATTGGGCTGACACGTTGCTTTCTGGTTAGTTTCAGTCTCCAGCTGCTCTTTGAGGAGCAAATTTTTTATTGTTCTTTCTTGCACGAAGAAACCTTGTTTTAATAGGCTGGAAGGGGGTGGGAATATGTATTTGCTCCTCTGTCTCTGACTTGAAGTCATTCAGGCTTTGACATACAATTTCCTTGTTTTTCCAGCCAGAAAACCTTATCCACCTCTTCTATTCAGAATGAAATCCCAAAGAAGAAAGCCAAGTTTGATGCCATATCTGCCAATGGTGACAGGTGAGCCTGCTGTCTGGGGAAATTTGGGGTGGGTGGGTGGTCTTGCTTGTTAAGTTTTATATAAGAGTTCTGTGTGAACAGTGGGAAACTTGATGCTTAGAGCAGGGATCTTGGGCTCTGGGACCTCGAGGGGCTGCTTTAGCAGCTTCCAGAATCCGACAGGCCAGCGTTAGTGAGCACTTAGCTTTGGAAAGGAAAATAAGCCCCGGTGCCTGTACCTGTTAGAACAGAAGCTGCTTGTTGGCTGAGCTCCCCAGCAGTAACAAAAACTGCAACCCAATCGACTGTATCCTCCCTGTGCAGCTGCAGGGGAAGGCTGGCTGTTGGCTGCACTCAGCAGGGAGCTGTGTGGTTTTTGTGCTTTCTGGGCTCTCAGACCAAGCTACAGGAGATGGCCTCAGAGGAGAGGACCAGAGCCCACCTCCGACTTCCCCTCCTGCCTTCTGGGGGTGGGACAAGCAATCAGGCTTTGCTCGAAAGCAGCCAGTCCCATTCTGCTGTCACAGTTGATGCTGGCTGCACGTGCGGCAGAACGGGAAGCTCTAGCAAAAACAGGAAATTGAGGTGGATTTTATTTTCTTTTTTATGCTCTTGTACATGCATATTTTCATTCCTCCCTTTCCTCTCTGATTCTCAGCGTTCCTTCCTCTCCCGAGACGCTTTGCCCCCCTATCCAGAGTGCCCCGTCCACGTTGGCGCAGTGGGCTGCTTCCCAACAGAGTCTCGGTGCCCACCATTGTCCTGTTTCTCAAGGCACTGACATCCTGAAGTGAGATCACCTGTTGTTTTCTCCCCCCCTTTTGCTCTCCCTCCCTGGGAACTGTCTCACGTGGAACCTTTCCCTCTCCATGGATCTGCTTCCAAACAGCAGTGAGATGGGAGCGTGGTGCGGGCTTCTCAGTGCCCAGGGGTCCGTTAAACCGCTGGTAACTGGAGGTCTTTTCTTCACAGTCACACATCACATCTCTCCTGGAGACACTGCTGATGTCCGGTCAATGTTTGTTAATGTACAGAATGCTGTTATGTGAAATAGAGTAGTTTTATAAGGCAGTGGTTCCCACAGAGCGGCCTGTGAGACCGTTCCTCACCTGCACAGAATTTTCAGTTCAAAGTTGGAAAAAAATCAGACTTCACTGTGGCTTAGGAGCCTCCAGTTGAGCATGAGGTGTTCAGAGAACTCAGCTGACTGCTTTTAATGTGGTGGAGCTGGAGGAGAGACTGGAGCCAGATCTGTGCAGCAAGCTGTGGCCATCAGGATCGCTTTCCCTCTGGAGCCCTGTTGGCCCCCTGCTCCCTCCTGAGGCTGCAGTCCGGGCTGTGGGACAGGACCAGGTGATTTCACCTGCTTGCTAAAGCCTGGGGTGAGACAAATCCACCTCTGGCTTGAGAACATCCAAGTCCTGTGCTCTGTCATCAGTTGCTCAGTCTTTGTGTGCAGTCAGGAGCGTGCATTAGAAGAATCAAAGGCCTTTATTTCTATTTGCTTGTGTCAGATGCTGGCAGCGTGGCTGCGCTCCTTGCCACAAACTTTTTTTGATACAGTAACAAACTGTGTGTAATTTTAGCAGCTCCTAAAGAGCTCCAGCAACGTGCAGTGGAAAATGCTGCAGCTGCCTGAAATAGATCCATGGCTGGATTTCTTGAGAGGAATAATAATGGTGCTTCAGTGCATTTGTGGAGCTGCAGAGGATGAAGCCCCCGGCAGCCCCCATCCCTGCACCATTTTCTGTGAGGGTTTCCACCCCTCAGCCCTCCTGGAGCTGCAGGCTGGGTGTGGAGCTTGGAGCTGGCTGTGTTAACAGCACCTCTCCCTGCTGCACCTTTCTTCCAGTCTCAGCTTCTGGCCCCAGCCAAACTTGGGCAGCCTTCAGCCAGGCAAAATGTGGGCACGCCTGGGCTCTTTCCTATGGTGATGCCCTCAGCAAGGTCCAGCTTACCCCAAATTGTTGCTCCTTCATGGATGCAATGGGAATTTCTGTCCTGTGTCCTGCTGAACTGCCTCTGAGCTCTGTGTTCTCATGTTGCTGAGCAGAGGATGCTCTCAGTGCCTGCGTTCAGGGGGCTGAGCTTCTTCCAGCAGCCGTTTAACGAGCGGCTTTGTGTGATTCTGGGTGGGCTCTGAGAGGAGCCCTGCCTCACGCACAGCAGCAGCTCTGGGTGCAGCTCCCAGCACATCCTGCCTTGCAGACCTCTCTGCACAATCATCATGCTGGTTCCTGAATGGACTTTTGAGAACTGAGAGTATTTTTGTCGCAGGTGATGTTTGGATGCTGCTTCGGTCAGCTTGCATTGTGCCCCTTGAATAGCAGAACCTTTAAGCTTGGCATTTATTTTGCCTGATTTCATTCATTTAACAGGTGTTGAGTGCGAGGCAGCCAGTTTGCATTCTGTTCCACTCAATGGAAAGAGGCAGGTGCCGTTGGAAGGGCTCCATTTTTAACTGCATCTCCAACGAAAGCAATGGGAGCTCATCAATTTGCTTTAATTAGAGGCGTGAATTTTAGGCTGCTCACACGTGGAGGGCACACATCCATCCCTCTGGCCTCTCCCAAAGGGCTGCAACCCCGGTGATGGAGTTTAGCTACAGAGAGAATGTGCTTGGGCTCTGTGAGTTGATTTAATTTTTAATCTGAGAGCTAAAAGAGGGGAGAGAGGTGCTTCTGGCATTTTAACTCCTGCTCTGCAGGAGGCTGGTGGCCTTCCTGTCCCTTCTCTCCACTGGGTGGCAGGGACACTCTCACTCTGTGGCTCCTGCAATAGAAGCTGCCCAGAACGAACTGTTCCTGCCTGAGCTGCTCAGGGAAACGTGAGCATCTCCCAGCTCTCTGCATCACCCCAGGCCACGGCAGCAGGGAGGCTTGTCTGGGCAAGGGATTGGTGCAAGCCAGAGTTTGTTTGGGGCCAGAAGAATTCAGTGAGGATGAGTTGAGGGCAGCCTCTGTGCAGGCTGCTTTTTTCGTTTCTTTTTTTTTTTTCTTCCCCTCCTTTTTCTTCTCCCTTTGCACTGAGGACATGAAAGCTGTTAGAAAGGCACTGCAGCACCCACATCATGCTGCAGAGCTCTGCTTTCAGGGAGCTGCACTCAGGTGTGGTTTCAGAGCAGAGGTGCAGCCTGCACGAAGGGACACCTGCACTCGGGAGCTGCAGTGTGACAAAGCCAGAGACCTGCAGCATCCTCACGGAGCACACTGCTGGCAGCATGCTGCAGCTGTGCAAAGCAAGCTGTCCCCTGCAGACAGCTCACCCCAGCTCTGGCTTTCCCTTTGCCAAGCTTCCTCTCAGAGCTGCAGGGCTGACCCGTGGCTTTCAGGTGGGTGAAGCTGCTGCCCGTGCTGGGTTCCCCTCTGTAAACCCCCTGCGCAGAGATTTTCTGCTACATTCTTGCTTTCCAATCCAATCAGCCTAGGCTGTGCTTTTGATTGGAAAACGGATTCTTTCCAGCCTCCGTGCAAGTAGCCAGTGCTCCATCCTGCTGTGCAGCTGGGGGTTGGGAGCCTGGAGCTGCTGGAGAGGCAGAGCTGGGGGAGCTGCGTTTGCCTTCAGACCCGCAGTGCCCCCCTGCAGGTGCTGCAGCTCCCAGTGGTAGTGCTGTAGTGCTGAGCAGGAGCTTCAGGACGGCTGTTGATCTGCTCTGGAGGTGTGCAGAAAATGTCAGCGTTCAGGTGTTCAGGTATGGGGGCTGTTTGCAGCTGCCTGACAGCAGGCAGACTTCAGGTCACCTTTGAGGTGGAACCTTGTTGTCGCTTTTATTGCTGGTACGTTTTTATACGCAGCAATTTGGAGCGTGTGGGGCTGGGAGCGTGCTGCCCTTTTAGCACCACGAGATAAAAATCCAGCTTACCCTTACAGCAGTGGGGAACAAAAGGCAGCCAAAGATCAGGTGAGCTCTCTGGGCCTGTGGCTGCAGCTTATCATATCTCGTGTTCCGAAATGCAGCTGTAGTGCGGCGCTGTGGATGGCTGCCCTGATTGCTGGGTGTCTGACAGGGAGATGTGTGGATTGCCTTTGCAGGGTGATTTACATCCAGATGGCTTTTCAGCTGTTGCTGAAGTTTAGCCTAGGCTGTTTCTGAGCAGGTCCTCAGCTATTTCTGTCTTCCTGGCGAGAGTCCTTGCTGCTCTGCAGTGGTAACAAAGCTTCTCCCTACATTCTGTATCGCGGAGGAATCAAAATACAAAAGTCCAGTGTGTCTTCTTCCCCTTTTCCCCGCTGAGGACGGCGCTGACTTTCATCTAGGTGTCTGTTTTGGCTTTGTTTGTTTAACTTGGAGGTTGTTTGTTTCTCTTTCTTGTTCCCTCCTTGCCAACGTGTTTGTTTACATTGAGTGAAAAGTTTTGCTGGACATCCAAGGACTGCCTGCGAGCAAAGAGAGTTCCTGAGTGGTTACGTAAAGTGTCATGAGCTCTCTGATTGCTGTCCTCAGCTCTTTGGTTTGAAAATAGATCACTGCCATTTGATTGCTGCAGATGCCAACTGATGTGCACCCGTAGCAGCCCTGTGTCCCCGCTGATTGGGCACGAATACAACTCGGTTTATCACACTGCTGCCCAGTCTTGTGTGTGCTCCCCACATTCCCTGTGGCGTTCAGGGCAGGGGTGCAGGTAACGCTCCAGACCTTGCAGGGCGCAGTGCGTGTCCTGGAGCAGCTCCCTTTCTTCTTTGGGTGCCATCTGTGTGGAGATTCCTCCACCTCGGTGCCCAGAAGGGGTTGTGATGAGAGCCATTCCTGTTCTCTGCTGCAGTTTTTCCCCGGACCTCGCCCTGGACTCTCCTGGCACCGACCACTTCGTTATCATTGCCCAGCTGAAGGAGGAGGTGGCCACCTTGAAGAAGATGCTGCACCAGAAAGATCAGATGATTTTGGAGAAGGAGAAGAAGGTACAGCCCTTGGCTTGCTTCCCCCACGCTCAGCATGCTGGCAGCTGGCACATCACATACATCACACTCAAACCAAGTCTGGCTTTTCATACTGTGGTCAGCAGAAGGCTTTCTGGCTGCTTCCAGGCTGCCCCCTTTCCAAAACTGAAGAGGCTTTCAGGACCCACCTGGGGGAAACTCATTTCAGAAGGAGTCATTTTCCACCCATTCTCTCTCATACCTCCATGGGGGGGCAAGTCCCAGAGAGCACCTACAGCTCTGTGCGGAGCGAGGGCAGCACCCAGGGTGCTCCTGCTGCTCTGTGCAGCTCTGTGATGCAGTGTTGCTCCTGTTGCCTTCCCCCTCCTGCATCGGTGTGTTTCCAAACTCATCTGGTCTCAGGCAACTTCTCTAGAGGCACTTTTCTGTGGCACGTGGGGTGAGAGCAGCCGCTTCTTCCCTCTCATGCTCTCTTTGTTGGTGTGTCTGCAGATCACGGAGCTGAAGGCTGACTTGCAGTACCAGGAGTCACAGATGAGAGCAAAGATGAACCAAATGGAGAAGACTCACAAGGAGGTCATGGAGCAGTTACAGGTGACAGCATTTTTGTTTTAATTTGCTGAGCTGTGCTGCACCCAGGAGTGACTGAGGACACTCCTATGGGAACAAGCCATGAACCTTGGCACGCACAGCTCTGCTCGTGCTCCTCAGCCCTGTCCTCCAGCCTCTGCTCTGCCTGGCAAGCCGTCCCCCAGCTCTGCAGTGCCTTGCACCCCCTATTCCATCCTTCTTGCTCTACTTGGGCTCAGCCTCACTGCACTGTGAAGCGCTGCCTCGTGTCCCCACGGGCTAGATGGGAGCTGTCAAACTCCTTTGACTTATTGCCAAAATCAGGTTTAAACCTGTTCCTCCAGACTGTAGAACCTTTGTCAGCTCCTCACACCACGTAGCTCTCGTTGTGATTGATGGGCCCAGTAACCAAAGGGAACAAAGATCAAGAAACAACTGGCGGTTTCTTCAGTGCTGTATCTGTAGTCCAAATAAAGAAGTCCCTGAGCTGGAGGGAACAGGGAGAGCAGGATTCTTGTCACGGCCGTGGAAAGGCCAGGCAGACTATCAGCATGAATACCCTGCACTGAGGAGACGGGGTCAAAGGGGAGCTGGTTATGGGGAAGGCAGACTTAGAAATGAACTTTGCACCCCTTTAATTACCCCGGGGTTTACAGTGATCGAAAGCCCTCGCAACGAGGGGTGGGAGGGGATGAGACAACAGACTTATGCTCCTGCCTCCCCTCCTCCGTCAGCACACACTCAAGTTAATGATTGCAGAAGATGGCGGGTTGTGGAGGCTGCAGTTTTTGTCAGAAAGGCGTCCATCGCAGCCACCCTGCGGAGCAGTGGAAGCCTGTGTGAACGCTGGGCTGTCTGATGGTGTGCAGGGGGTGGGTTGTGCCTCAGGGACTGATGGCAGCCAAAGCCTTGGGTCTGCGTTCTGCTTCCGCGATCCTGCGCTGCCCGCTTCAGCCTAGAGCTGCTCCTATCTCACACCTTTGGGCGGCCTGCGAAGGACGACCTGCTGTTCTGAGCAGACCCTTTTCCCCTGGCACAAACCCCCACGTTCTGATTGCCCCCCCAGCTGGGAGGTGGCTTCCATCCTTGCAGTGGTTTCCCAAGACAGGGCAGCCTGGTCACTGTGTGTATGGGAGGAGTCTGTCTGTCATGAAAGCTGTCAGACACCTGCCAGCAGCTTTAAACTTGCTCAGTTCTGAACAGAAAGAGGAAGCATCAGATCCACAAGTGGGTTTGCCACCCTGCTGGGTGCGTGTCCCCATGGTGCTGGCCTGTCCTTACTTGGTGCTCCCACCTCCTCCTTTCTGCTGTCTGAATGTTCTTCTTCAGCTGCTATTGACTGAGGCTCTGGAAACTTTCCTCACTGATTCCAAAATAAAAGGTGTGCTGTAGGTGCCTCAAAGTGTTCGAATCATTCGCTTTCTGAATGTGCTCCTGGTTTGTTTTTCACTGGGAGGGGGGGGAAGCAGGGGGTCTGTGTCCTTCCAGTATGTAGGAGGCAAAAGAAGCTGCTTTACCTCATGCAGCACTGGAGCTGAGGGTTTAATTGCTGTAATGATGTTTGCACGTCCAGCCATTCGCTGCAAACCAGTGCGGAAGGGCCGTACCTGGTTTTTGCATGGGTTCTCCCCTTGTCCTGCTGAAATTACTGTATAGGCTGCAGGGGGGTGAGCTCAGGAGTTTGGTCAGAGAGGCTGAAGAGTCTTGCTTGTAAGTTGCCATCATTTTTATTTCGTTTCAAATGAGGCAGGGTCGTGTTTTGGTGCTGTGATGTGTGCAGGAGGTTCTCGTGGGGATGCGGTCAGCGCAGCGCCGAGTCCTGGTAGAACATTGGCAGCATCTGAGGGTGAAGTGAAGCTGGAGAGCAGAGCGAGCTCTTCCTCCTCGCCCTCTGATGTGGATGAGAGGCAGGAGACGTTTGCCTTTGACTGAGATGGGAGCTTGAGTCACTGGTGCTTTTCTGCACCACCTCTTGCGGTGCCTGATGGAAAGGGAAGGAAGGGAAGGCGGCCCTGCTGCCCTTGCCGCGCGTCCTTGGCTGGCTCCGTGCGTTTGGCACATCGCGCTGTGGAAGCTGTCGAGGTCCAGCCCACGTCTCAGTTACAGCGGGGGGATGAGAGGGGGGTGGGCAGAGCCCTTGTGAGGGAGGTTCTGTGCTGTGGTGCCGCACAGCAGCGCCTCGCTGCTTCCCCCCTGCCAGCACTTCTGTCCAGGCCTCGCTGGACCCCGAGAGCTGATGGCGATCCCTTCCATTAAATTGCCATTTTCACTGTGTTTTCAGGCCAAGAACAGAGAACTCCTGAAGCAAGCAGCTGCCCTATCCAAGGGCAAAAAACCTGAGAAGTCGGGAGCAATAACCTCCCCTTAAAACCAAACCCCCAGTGTGGGAGCTTTCCCCAGCATTAGCCAAGGAGTCTAGGAGGCCTGCCCGACCGCTGGAAGCCAAAACCTCCGTGCTGTCACTCTCCCACTGCTGTGGACTCGATGGAAACGCCTGGGCTGTGTTGCCTTTCGACAGCATGCTTGAGTGTGTCTGGTCTCTGAACTCTGTTCTGTCTCATGGCGCTCCGTGGGAGAGGTCCCAGCACCCCAAAGCCCCGAAGCTCCGCTGACTGGAAGGACTGAGCAGCTGCTACCACTGCCAACTCTTTGTATTAGCAAACAGGAACCTGCTGCATTACAGACTGCTTGCTGGTTTCAGACCTGCTGCTGTGAGGCAATAGCCATGGCCAGTCGTCCTGCAGATGAGGCGGGAGCTGTGAGGTGGGGGCTTCATTCCTCTGGACTGTTCCCTCTCGGAAAGGAAGCCGATGCATCACCAGCCCAGCAGCTGTTCTGGAAGGCTGGGAACGGTTCGTCCATCCTTTGAGAAGGCTTCCAAGATGGGGGCTGTGTATTTATCTGGGAGGGTTGGGGGGGGGGTTGTGTGTTTTTTCTTTTTTTTCCCCCCCCTCTTTTATTTTTCCACGTCAGCTTGACAAACTTCACCGCTTGGTTTTGGTTTTGGTGACGACAGCTTTTGGGTTATGAGCCAGAGGGGAGCAGTGCCTCCCCAGAGCCGCTTCGTCCCCCGGTGCCGCGCTCACTTGGTGGCCTCTGGGCCTCGGTGTGACGGAGCATCGACTCCATCTCTTGACATCGGCACGATTCGAGGCTTGGCCGCGTCCTGCTCTCCCTCAGACCCCGCACTGGGTTCGCCCTGCCCCTCCGCTCCCTTCCAGATGCAGGGGCCAGGAAAAGTGCTTACAGAGGCAGCGTCCCAAGCCAGCAAGCATTGCTCGGGGCTCCGCGGGGACGTTTCTCACTGCCAACCCAAAGCCAGCAGGATGAAAGGGCTTCGAAAGCTCCCCGCGCTTCTCAGCAACGGGACGAGCGGAGCCCGCAGCCCCTTCTGCTGAGCCGGGGGGGGGCGGGCGCTGCCCGGGCGCCTCGGGGGGGCACAGAAGCGCCTGGAGGAAGCGGCGGTTTGCTCCGTGCTGAAGAAGCGGCTCGGGGCGGAGGGGGGGGATGAGCGCGTAGTGTGGAGCAGCGCCGAGGGTCGGTAGTGAAAAGGAGAAGCTGCCCTCCGAGGCGGGGCTGCTCGCTCTGCTGGGCTTTTTATCCAGCTTTTAACTTTGTGATAGGGGGGGTTTGGGGAGGGGGGGGGTGTTTTTCCTGCTTTTTTGTTGTTACTAAAGCTGACTTGACTTAAAGGCACTTTTGGATGATGTTGGCTTCCGGCATGGAAGGAGCACGCGCTGCAGCATCACACACTGCCGCATCTTTCGGGTTTTGTTCTCTCTTTCTTTTCTAAGAGGTTTCTGATGTGAGGGAAAGGGAAGAAAAAAAAAAAAAAAAAAAAAAAAAAGGGTTGTTATGCTTTGCCAGAGTGCAACAGCTGGAAAATCCTCACCTGATTTTATACTTCACACGTTTTTAGACAATGAGGTGCATGGGTGGGATTCTTTTTAAACGGGGGCTCTGCTTTTTTGTCTGCTTCCCTCCCCAAACAGAGCCACGGAGGGGGGAGGGATGGAGGCCCTGCGGACACTATGGAGGTTTTCTGTTGTTTTGTTTTTTTAATGGTGACAAAAACAAAAACCAAACCCACCACCAAACAGGTTGAGTAGCGGCTGATTTGTAGTAACAGCATCGTTTCCTTTGTATGTTTGTAATAACGGAGATTTTAAAAAGGGATGCTTTGATTTGTACCAAACTCTGACAAATGTTAAAGCCTTTTCCAAAATGCTCAGAGCTGCGTCCATTGCTTTGCTCTTTGCCTTGAAGCACAGCTCCATCATCCCCTGCAGGCTGAGGTTCAGCCCCGCGCCTCCAGGCTTTGGGTGCCTGGGAAGGAGATGCTGCTCTCCATTGTTTGCTCCTCTCCTACTTTTGTTTCTATCTTTAAATCCCACTCAGGGCTGTTGCTAGGATCCGCGTTACTTGGTTACGTCCCGCTTCCCAGGACCGACCTGCTGCTGCCAGCCCGCATCCCTGCTTTATTCCCCAGCCACACCAACAGAGACGGGGCGCAGACACGACGTCTGCTCCGTAGGGAACCGAGAGGATCACAGCATCACAGAACGGCCAGGGTTGGAAGGGAGCTCAGGGATGATGAAGCTCCAACCCCCTGCCATACGCAGGGCCACCAACCTCCACATTCAATGCTAAACCAGGCTGCCCAGGGCCCCATCCAACCTGGCCTTGACCACCTCCAGGGATGGACGGGGCATCACAGCCTCTCTGGGCAGCTGTTCCAGCCCCTCACCGCTCTCTGGGTAAAGAACTTCCCCCTGATGTCCCACTTCAATCTGCCCTCCCTCAACTTCAAACCATTTCCCCTCGTCCTACATGTATCAATCCTTTCCAAGAGTTGATTCCCCTCCTGTTTTAGGCTCCCTTCAGGTACTGCAGGCTGCACTGAGGTCACCCTGCAGCTTCTGTTCTCCATCTGAACAAGCCCAGCTCCCTCAACCCGTCCTCATAGGGGAGCTGCTCCAGTCCCCTGCTCATCCTAGCAGCCCTCCTCTGGACCCTCTCCAACAGCTCCCTGTCTTTTTTGTGCTGTGGGCTCCACACTTGGACACAGCACTGCAGATGGGGCCTCACAAGAGCAGAGTAGAGGCTCTGTGGTCCTGTTGAGGTTCCCATGTGTTCCTGCACCACGAGGCTGTGGATGCCCATCCTGCCCATCCTCAAGGCCGGGTGCGTATGGCTCTGGGCAGCTCTGCTGGTTGGCAGCCTGCACACAGCAGGGGGTTGGAACCAGATGAGGGCCTTTTCAGCCCAGGCCTTCCTGTGATTCTACGTCTAAGTGCTGTTCTGAGATCTCGCCCTCCTCTCAGCCACAGCTGGGGCTGTTCTGAGAGGAAAACAGGTCGTTTCTCTTCAGCGGGGTCCAGAAGCAGCAGAAATGCAGCAGCCAAAGGCGATTCCCACCTGGAAGTGCCCCCACCCCGCTCCCAGCCCCTGTAGGTGCAGCGAGGCGCATGGCAGCCTTGGATACCAGCTCCCTTCCCCTCTCTCTGGGGGAGGCTTGCGCTGCTCCCACGGCTGTTTGCCCACTTCCTCGGGGTTTTCTCCCCAGCTTTGCAGGATGGCAGCTCGCAGAGCAACCTGGGCTTGTTTCCAAACCAGGCAGCACTGCAGAACTGTGCCAGTAGGGCTTCACTTATCTCTGCTGAGCGCAGCGCAACGCCGGCCGTATCCTTGAGCCGGCCTGAATGGCCGTGTTTATGGCAGGAGGGAGGCAGATAAGAGCAGGATTTACACAAGGCTCACAATTAAAGTCTCCGTGCCTCCAGCTCTGTCCTCCAGCAGAGGGTTTGAAAGGGGCAACGTGTGCAGCAGTGTGTGCAGAGCCCAGCAGTGTGTGTGCAGAGCCCAGCAATGTGTGCAGAGCCCAGCAATGTGTGCAGAGCCCAACAGTGTGTGCAGAGCCCAGCAATGTGTGTGCAGAGCCCAGCAGTGTGTGTGCAGAGCCCAGCAGTGTGAGCAGAGCCCAGCAATGTGTGCAGAGCCCAGCAGTGTGTGCAGAGCCCAGCAGTGTGTGCAGAGCCCAGCAATGTGTGTGCAGAGCCCAGCAGTGTGTGTGCAGAGCCCAGCAGTGTGTGCAGAGCCCAGCAATGTGTGCAGAGCCCAGCAGTGTGTGCAGAGCCCAGCAATGTGTGCAGAGCCCAGCAGTGTGTGTGCAGAGCCCAGCAGTGTGAGCAGAGCCCAGCAATGTGTGCAGAGCCCAGCAGTGTGTGCAGAGCCCAGCAGTGTGTGCAGAGCCCAGCAGTGTGTGCAGAGCCCAGCAATGTGTGTGCAGAGCCCAGCAATGCCTGGCTGAGCACTGAGTGGCTCCTGCCTTTATCTGCCTGTGCTCATTTCCTCCTCACTGCTACTCATCCACTCCTTCTGAAGCACTTTGGATTCTTGCAGGAGGGCATCTCTGTACATGTGTTTATTATTTGAGGCCGTGATCGCTCCATTTCTATTTCAAAGCCTCAGGAAAAGAGGGTTTTGACAGTGGTTGAATGCACTTGAAAAGATATTACATACTGATCCCTACCAGCCGAAATCGGGGGCGAAAGTGAGACCTCTGGAGCAGCGCTGCTCCATTTCAGCCCGGTTCCAGGTGGGCAGGCATTTTGCTGCTCCCTGTCTCCTGCCCCAGAGACCTGAAAGCCCAAGGGCTGCAGTTTCAGCAGTGCTGATCCGTGCAGCTGGAGGTGGGACTTCAGGGCACGATGAAAACCTCTTGCAAAGCATTTCTGGAGATCCAACCAAGAGGATTAGTGCTGTGTGTTTGTTTTTCAAGTGATTACTTGCAGCAAACTGCTTTCCAGCCTTGCAAGCCCCTTGGCAAAGATCTGCAACTTGTACACAGGAATGAATAAACAGTTCTGCAGCCTGACAGCACGTACCTGCAGCAGGAGTGAACCCGCAGCAGGAGCAAACTGCCTTCCCCAGCCAGTAATTAGCCCCAAACAGCTCCCTTCCACTCCTTGCCTAATTGCTGGGGCTTTCAGGGAGCTTGGCTCTGTGGCGTGCCCTGGGGGCAGCAGGTTTGTGTCTTCAAACACGGCTAGGGCTCCTCACAGCCTTTAAAGCATCAGAAAGTTGTGTTGTTCCCGATCCAGGAAGGCGAGCGCCAGCCTTGCTCTGCCTCTCCTTCTGCTGCCCTTTGCCTTCTTCCCAAGGAAGCCCCAGGACGTGCACGAGTCCAAAGGCTCCCGCGTGAATCCTAGAGCTGCTGCAGAGCTGAGCGCTGCGCTTTGGCTGAGCTCCCCTCTGGGTGCTCCTGCACAGCATTTCCCTGCTCCCTGGGCAGCCCCACTTCTGCCCTCCCCGTCCTTGGGGTCCCAGGGGGCAGCAGCTCACCCCACACCGCCCTCTGTTTGCTCTCAGCTGACTTATCTGGGGCAATCAGGCTCGCCTTCCTGTTTAGCTTTCTTACAGCGCGCTGTTAAACTAAATCAACAGACTTGTACAGTCAGCATCTTGTTAACCAGGGCATTCTCAGGCCCTGTGTAATTAGCCAGCCGTGATGGGTGTTTCTGGAAGCGGGGCGCTCAGTCCCACACTGGGTTTCCCCTCGAGAAAACATTGCTTCTCATTGCCACCCTGCTTCCAACGGGCACCACGTGAACGCAGCAGGATCAGCCAGCGCAGTGCTAATGCCACGCCATGCTATTTTATTTCCTAGCAAGCTCAAAATGGGGCAAAAGCCTGCCTGGGTTTTCCACAGCAGCTCACGGGGTGGGCAGTGAGGGACCCCCCGGGCGTTTTCCCTCGGGATGCCGCTCTGGTCCTGGGGGAGGAGCAGGACCCCCTGGGATGGGGCCAGAGAAACCCGCAGGGCTGGAGGCGCCCACAGGGCAGCTCACTGTGCCAGGCTGCTCTCGAGGGTGTGAAGCTGCTGCTGGCCCACACCGGCTGCTGCGTGGGAAGGAGCAGCACAAACAGAACAGGAAAAATGCTGAGGCTGCAGGGAAGGCCGGGGTCGCCTGACCTGGAGCTGGGGAGCAGATGGGGAATGGTGTGCAGCTCCTTATTGCTGAGTGAGTGCACAGCAGCACAGCAGCACAGTAACACAGCACACACGGGGCACGGCCCAGCGCTGGCTCAGCAGCCTCCTGGTGCAGCCCTCGTGGCCCTCAGAGGGGATATTTTTGGGTTTAATGCTTGGCAGCACAGCCGGCCCCTGCCTGGTGTGTGCCCACGGCTCCAGCGTGCTCCAATTCATGTCCAGGGCTTTGGAAAGGGGGAAGGAGAGGCAGCCCCTCCCTCCAAAATAAGGCAAACCCAAATGCTTCTAGCGTGGGGTCACGCAGGGCTGCAGCCTCTCTCTCTGTGTTTCCTTCCTTGCTTCCATCCTGCAGATTTAGGGCTGAGAACGAAGGGATCTCCAGCATGGGGAGGATTGGGATCCCAGCTGCTCATGGGGCAGTTTGGGGGCAGAAGAGGACTTTGGACACCCACAGCTCCAGGTGTTCATCATTGGGGCAGAGCTTGGGAGTGCCCCGGGCTGCATCCAGCCCCACAGAGCCCTCTAATTGCTCAGCCCGTTAATTACATCGCATCCCAAGCAGTCGCCGCTGCTCCCAGCAGAGCTGAACCACGTCAGGATTTGATCCCCAAATTGCCCCCTCGCCACCGGGGCTGACAGACGCAGGGACTCCCACCTCCAAACCCCACACCCGAAACGGCGGGGCTGCAGGCAGACCCCAAAGCGCCGTGAAAGGAGCGGGGCACCGGAGCAGCTGCCCGCTCTGCATTTCACCCTTCCCGAAGCCGGCAGGGCGCCAACGAGCCGGGCCGCCTGCCGCTAATTGGCAGAGCCCGGAGGAGCGGGAGGAGGAGGCTGTTACCAGGCAAAGCCGGAGTTGTTTGTGCAGCGAGAGCTGTTTGCTGGACTTTGCCGTGTGCGAGCTGTCAAGGAGCACCAGATTGTTATCAGCGCTTCTGTCTGCGGCTGCCGGGGGGCCGTCGCTCCCATTATTTTTATTATGCCCTATTATTTTGTTCTTCTTATTTAATTAGCTCGCTATTATTCCGGCTCATCCCGCAGCTCCTCGCCGCATCCCAGGCGGTTCCGCGCCCTCCTCGTCCGGTGGGGGCTGGGAGGGGAAGGGGCTGCGAGAGGAGCAAAACAAACTACAGCTCCCAGCGTGCCCCGCGCGCCTATCGCTGATTGGCTGGCGGGCAGGCGTCGGTCACACCCCCGCGACGCCATTGGTGGAGACGACGGTAGGGGGCGTGACCGGCGCCCATTCACACCCTCTATGAAAGAGCGCTCCGGGTCCCACGGCCCTAAGAAGCGCCGCGGCCCCAAAAAGCGCCACGGTCCCGAAAGCGGCCCCGAAACGCGGCGTTGTGGTTATGAGCGCTCCGTAGCCGCTCTCGCGCTGTCCCCGTCGCGGTGTCATGCTGGTGGCCGGTTCGCAATGCTGCCCTCCGGGGCTGGAGGAGCGCTTGGGATGCGGGGCTCTGCGGGGCGAGGAGGTAAGAAAGGAGCACCGCTGCCCCGCTGCCCGACCGCGGGGCCGCGCGGAGGTTTGGGGTTTGGGTTGTTGTCGTTCCCTCCTCCCACTCCACGGTGCGTCTCTTTGCGTCGCCCCAGTGCCGGGCAGTGCGCGGGTGCCCCGCTGTGCCGGGGCTGCATGGGGTGGGAGGGAGGTGCGACCCTGAGCGGAGTCCCACAGCGCTCAATCCCCATCCCGGCGGGTCCTGGTCGCCATACAGGTGTGGGGCAGCCGCCCCCCAGGTCCCATGTGAGGCTTGGGGCCGCTCCAAGGGCTGGGAAAGGTCCCACAGAACTCAGGGCTGTTTGCGCTGGGAGTCCTGGGGTGTCCCTCCTGCTGCATCTCCCCGATTTGGGACTTGTCTTTGTCTGTAGGCAGGGGCAGCAATCGGTGGGGCTGCGCTGAGCCCCCAACCCAGAGATGTGGGATGGTTCTCAGAGGGTCTCTGCAGGGTGTTTGTTTAACCTCTCCTTATCAGGAGCGATTTTCCAACACCTGACCAAGCCCTGGCAGCAGCGCAGGGCAATGCTTGGCACTGCTCTGGGGGCATTCCATCCTTCCCCTGGTGCTCCATTTGGGGCTGAGCCTCCCCTGCCCCCCCCACAGCCTGGCTGTGCACTTGGGGGCTGCAGCATCACCACCGTGCCTCAGTTTCCCCACCTGCAGAACGCAGCGCTGCCCCACAGCAGCACGGCAGGGGTTAAGCTCAGGAATTGCTTCACGCAGCAAAACATTACAGCAATGATTAAAATGCACCTCCAAAGGTCACCCTGAGCTGTCACAGCAGGGAGAGCTCCGCCGAGTCCCGGCTGGTTTTGGGGGCTGCAGCTTTGCTTTATGGGGTTTCTCCGTTGCTCGGCGGCCAGCTGAGCTGCTCCTTCACCGCCGGTTTGGCTGCTGTGAGTCAGAGCAGTGCTCAGCGCTAATGGCACGAGCCTGGCCCTGCTGTCACCTTGCTGTCACCCTGCTGTCACCCCCTGTTGCTTCCGCCGTGACTCAGGGCAGGAGTGCCCCGTGCGCTCAGGGCCGTGGGGATGTGGGTGCCCACGAGGTGCCCGTGGGGCCGTGCTGCCCATCACGCTGGGAGCGCGTGGCTGCACTGACAGCTGCCACCTGGCCGCCTCGTGTCACCCCCCCCAAATCCCATCCCGTCATCCCATTTGGGATGGGCGCTGTGCCCCCCGCAGTGCTGTGGGGACGGCTGGCAGAGCAGCGCTGCGTGCGGGTGCTGGCGCTGCTGGAGAGCCCTCTGCCAGGCCGCGTCCTGCAGGTGAACGTGCTGCTGCGTGGGGCAGAGCTTTGTGCCAATGGGCTGAAGGAGCACAGCTGTGCTTTTGGGGTGGTTTTGGAGAGCGCTGCTGGGAGAGGCGCTCGCTCTGATCGATGCTGCAGGGATCCCATTCAAGGCAGGGGATGTGGGGTCTTGGCTGCGTCCCGCCTCTCCTGGCCCCGCAAGGTGTGGATTTCTGCTGTGTGAGGGATCCCGCTGCATCCCTCTGGTTGCAGGAGTCCCCGCAGAGGTGGTGGAGCACAGCCTTGACCCTACGGCTGGTCCTGGTGTCCCACTGCTGCCCCACATCCTGCAGACAGAGGGGCTGGGAGAAATGGGAGCGTGAGCCGGGGGGTTGCTGGGGGTGCTCCCTTAATGCAGCAGCAGTGCTGTGCATGGCTTCCACCGGTGCAGGAATGGGATGGGGGCTGTGAGGGCAGCCCAGCAGTGTGGGGGTGCATGGGGGGATCAGGCTCTGCTGCCTCCCTGTGTTCCAGCACTGTGAACCCACAGGAGGGTGTGAGGCTCCCAGTCCCACAGCGCAGGCAGGCATGGATGTGGGGTGGTGTAACACAGCCAGCACCCCCACAGCCCCCCCCCCGGGCTCTGAATTTTGCTTTTCCCCATTGAGGCACACGGCTGTGCAGGCTGCTGCTCTTCCTGGCCCCGTCCTGCTGTCACACCTCCCAGCAACGCCCGGCTGTGATTTCATCAGCCTGATGCAACACCCGTCGGTGATGGCCGTGGCTGGGGGGAGATCTGACCCTGAGTCACCCATCCGGTGACGGCCCCACGTCACCCCACCCCCCCGTCCCAGCGCTGCCAGGGCTGGCTGACACCGCTGCTCTTTCCTCCCTGTAGGACAGAGGGATCCCGGTGCCCCCGCAGCTGGGGAGGGGGCCCAGCGCCTTCATCCCTGCAGAGGAGGTAAGAAGGGAAAGGGCATCGCTGCCAGCATCGACAGGGGGTGCATCTCATATGGGTGAAGGGGACGCGGCCCTATTGGGGTGGGGGCTCTTAGTGGTGGTACCCGGCTTGGAGAGGGGTGGGATCTGGGATGCAGCGTCGCTGCTTGCCCAGCCGCTGCTCCGCTGTGTAGCAGTGGGGAGTGCTGTGCACTGTGCCCTGCTCCCACCCCAAAGCTGGGGATCCCTACAGCCCTATTGCAGCGCTGGGTGCCGGCACACAGATGGTTCCTCCTCGGGCAGAGATAGGGCTGTGCTTTCGTCACCGTGCCGGGGGGGGGTGGGGAGCGTCGGCTCCTCCCCACCGCATAAACAACCCGGTGCTGAGCAGGCTGTGTGGGGCTGCCATGGGGTCCCCCGAACCCGGCTCACCCCATGGGGATGGGGGCTCAGGCGGTGGGAACGGCCGGAGGTGTCCTTTCAGGGCAGCAGGAGGGCGGCTGGGCGCAGCCTTTGGGGTGAGCAGCCCTAAATGAGGGCTGGGGGGCATCCTTTGAGGGTGAGGGATCCTAAATGGGGGTTGGGGGCCATCTTTTGGGGGTGAGTATCTGTAAATGGGGGCGGGGGAGGGCATCCTTTGGGGGAAACAGCCTTAAATGGGGGCTGTGGAGGGATCCTTTGGGGTGAGTGGGCCTATATAAGGACTGGGGGGCATCTTTTGGGGGGAGTGTCCCTAAATGGGGGATGGGGGGGGAACGTTCTTTGGGGGAAGCAGCCCTAAATAGGGCCTGTGGGATCCAGATCCTGCAGGAGGGCATTGAGAGCAGTCGGCGGCAGCTGCTGATCGAAGCCTTCGTCTCTGCCGGCCGCGTGGACAACATCACGATGGTGATGGGGCTGCACCCCCAGTACCTGAGCAGCTTCTGGAAGACTCAGTACCTCCTGCTGCGCATGGACGGACCCCTCCCCTACCACAAACGTCACTACATCGCCATCATGGTGAGCGTGGGACCCCCGGCTGTGGGCCGTGCCGTCCCTCAGAAGCCGCTTTGGGGTCGCTTTTGGGGTTCCCAGCTTCCTCTACAGCCAGAGGGCTGATGTTGGGATGCAGGGCTCCCCCCCCTGAGCTTTGTCCCCAGGGAAACCCCTCTGGGTGGTGGTGGGGTCCCTGTGTGGCTTCTCCAAAGGCTGGCGTTGGGGTTGGTGCTGATCGTCCGGCCGTCCCTGCAGGCAGCAGCCCGGCATCAGTGCACCTACCTGGTGGGGCTGCACATGGGGGAGTTCCTGCAGGCGGGGGGCAACCCGGCGTGGCTGCAGGGGCTGCACTGCGCCCCCCAGAAGCTCAGGAACCTGAACGAGATCAACAAGCTGCTGGCACATCGACCCTGGCTCATCACCAAGGAGCACATCGAGGTGGGAGACCCCAACATGCAGTCGGGGGGGTGGAATTGGTGGCCCTGGGGGCCACGTTGCTCCTTGGGTTTAACCCAAAAGGGGCCGTAAGTCGGGTGGGTGGGTGGGAAGGGGCGGTGGATGGGAACACGTGGTGTATGCGTCCCAAATTCCATCCCACCTCGGCCGTGGGATGTGGGGGCACAGAGCCTGAGCCTGATGTCTCCCCCATCTCCCCCCACAGGCGCTGCTGAAGACAGGGGAGCACAGCTGGTCGCTGGCAGAGCTGGTGCAGGCGCTGGTGCTGCTCACCCATTACCACTCTCTTGCCTCCTTCGTCTTCGGCTGTGGCATCAACCCCGAGGCAGGGCAGGATGGGGGGCACGGCTGCAGACCCCCTTCACCCCACAGTGACAGCAGCCCCACAGCTGAGGACAGCACGGGGTGCTCGGGGGTAAGAGATGGGGGGGGATTACCACGATCTGGGGTGGTGCCGTCCTGCTGGGGTCTCCCCCATAAGCCCTGAGGGATGGGGTGTTGGTTGGCCCCTTGTATGAAGGTTGGGGGGGGGGTGGGGGGGAGGGGGCACAGAGTTTGCAGCCCCCCAGTGGCACCGAGCCCCTCTTCTTTCCCCAGGGCAGGGATGCCGTGCGTGAGGTGGAGGCGCTGATGGAGAGGATGCAGCTGCTGCGGGACAGCCAGAGGGAGGAGGAAGGCGTCACGCAGGAGGAGATGGCCACGCGCTTCGAGATGGAGAAGACGGAGAGTTTGCTGGTGGCCCCATCGGGTAGGAGGGGGTCCCTGCAGGGGACTTTGGCCCCGTTGCTGGGCTGCGGGCGGCCCCACGCCGTTGCTCACAGCTGCACCTCGCAGATGTCACGGAGCATGCCCTGCAGTCCGGCGTGCTGTGCTTCGTGGAGGACCCCGAGTTTGGCTACAAGGACTTCACGCGGCGCGGCGAGCAGGCGCCCCCCACCTTCCGTGCTCAGGTGGGTCCCGCTCCCCCCAAACATGGGGCATTGCTGAGGGCTGGGACCGGGCTGGAGCCAAAGCAGCAGCGCTGGTAACAGAGGGGGGGTGGAAGGGTGACCGTCTGCCCCGCGCTCTCTCCCTTCAGGATTACACCTGGGAGGACCACGGCTTCTCCCTCATCAACCGGCTGTACCCCGACGTGGGGCAGCTGCTGGACGAGAAGTTCCAGGTCGTTTACAACCTGACCTACAACACCATCGCCATGCACTGCGGCGTCGACACCTCCATGCTGCGCCGCGCCATCTGGAATTACGTGCACTGCGTCTTCGGCATCCGGTGGGTCCCTCCTCTGCTCCCCAAACCCTGCAGCAGCCCCTGGGTTCAGCTGAGGGGATGTGGGTCTGGAAACGGGCGCCCTGATGGGTAGGGGCTGCGGCACAGGGCTGACGTCCCCCTCCCTTCTCCGTCGCCCCCAGCTATGATGACTATGACTACGGAGAGGTGAACCAGCTGCTGGAGCGCAGCCTGAAGGTGTACATCAAAACAGTGGCTTGCTACCCTGAAAAGACCACCAAGAGGATGTATGCACAGTTCTGGAGGCACTTCAAGCACTCAGAAAAGGTGCTGCCCCCCTCCCCCCCCCCGCCCCTCATTTCCCCCTCTTTTGGGGCTCTGGGGCTGAGCCCCCCCATGTGCTGACCCCGCTGTCCTGTTACAGGTCCACGTCAACCTGCTGTTGCTGGAGGCCCGGCTGCAGGCTGCCCTGCTGTATGCCCTGCGTGCTGTCACACGCTACATGACCTGACAGCTCCCCAATCCCCCCCCCAGTCCTCCTCCTCCTGCTTGGGGGGGGGGGGCTGGGACCTGGGGGGAGCTGACACTGTGAGGACTGTGTTGGGATGTTGCCTCCTGCCTTATGGATGTAGAGATAAGGGGGGGAATGGGGTACTTGTGCCCCTTATGCTGGGATAGGGGGGGTCTCTGAGTGGGTCCCCTCACCCCCCCCGTGTCCTGGTGGGGTGGGTGGAAGTGGGGCTGCTGTGTGCCTTGTTTGGGGGGAGCCCCGTGGAGCTGAGCCCCTTTTCCTGGAGCAACTTTAGCAATGATGCTGCTGTGCCCCCCTCCTGGCCTCATCCTGACCCTCAGGTACGTCCCCCTGCAGGTGGACTGGAGGGGGCTGAAGGCACAGACGTGTCGTGTTGGTGTCCCCCCCTCATCCCAGGGTTCAGCCTGAGCCCCCTGCAATTGGGGACTGGAAGTGCCTTAAACCTGGGCCCTGGGTAGGGGTTGGGGTGGGGGCTGCAGCACCTGCAGTGCCTTTTTTTCACCCCCTGCCTGCTCTGTGCCACTGCAATGGGGAACTGGGGGGGTGTCTGTGTTGCATCCACCCATCCTGTGCCATCTCTCCCTGCCTGCTGTTGGGGTGAGGCTTCGCTCCCTCCTTCTGCATCTCCATACCCCCATTGCCCACCTCCCCCTGAGCACCCCATAGCAGTTGGGGCCCATTGGGTGCCCCCTCGCCCCAGTGCAAAACTCCCCCCATGCCATGCATGGTGCTCTTGGCTCTGCTGCAGCAGTGCTCCCTCAGCTCTGCTCTCCTGCCTGTATTGAGGACAAGGGGGGTTGCTGCCCCCCCCCCGCCCCACATCCTTTTGGGGCAGTGGGGCTCAGTGCCAAGAGAAGGGCAGCACTTCTCCTTTCCCTGCCCATCACTCCAAAGCGTGTCAATGTGGGGGGGGGGCTGTTGGGAAGGGGGCTCAGCTCAGCTGCCCTCCTCCTGCAGCACGAGGGACCCCCCCCCAGTGCCCCTCATCCCCCGCTGCACTTCATTGCACAGCACACTGCTGGGGGGGGGGTTCCCTTGGAGCACTGCTGGGCTGGGATATGGGGTACCCCTGCCCTCCCCCCACCCCCCATGTGCCTTTTCCCCTCAGTGCGGGTCACTGGGGGAGCCATGGGGAGCCCCCCCTTCCCCCCATGCTGCAGCACCACCCTGGGTTTGTCTCTGCTGCACCACAGCTCCACTTTAACTTATTTCTGGTTGTTGAGTGTTTGTGCTCCTACGTGGGCCCGGAACCAACACTGGGGCTTCACTACGGATCTCATCTGAAAAAAGAAATAAATTTTTTTTTATTATTTATTATTGACTGGTTGTTGGTCTTTTGCCCAACTGCCCCCCCGAGCTCAGCTTCATTCTCCCACCCCCCCCCCCATGCTGTGATACGGGGTTGGGGGTCAGCGTGCAGCAGCACCCAGTGCTTATCAGCACACAGCAGCCCCTGGGAGCTGCAGATAAGTGCCTGGGGGGCACCGAGCTGCTGCACGCCTCCTGCAGTGCTGTGGGTGCAGGGGAAGCCCTGAGAGCTGGGAGGGCTGCTGCTGCTGGGGTGCCTTGCTGGAGTAATGGAGGGAGCAATGGGGATCCATTGGGGTGGGGGTCCTGGGGGATTGGAGCTGAGGAACGGGGGTTGCAGAGGGCAATGGGGGCTGGATTCGTGTATGGGGCCACGCTGTTCTGCACTGACTCACAGCCCCCAAATAGTTCCTGGTGCTTTTCCAGCCCTGCAAACACCAACAGCTGCTTCAGGGCTGTGTTTCTGCATGGAACCCCATGGGGTGACACCGAGCTGGGGGGAGCCAAGACCCCCAGGTTTGTCATTGCTGATGGGGCTGCAGCTGAACCCCGGTGTCCCCTCCTCCCTCCGGTTGTGTCCAACCCCAGAGCTCCCCTTTTCTCCCAGCAGAGCTCTGCAGATCCCTGCTGCCAGGAGGGGAACATCTCGCATTGCTCCCAGCACAGAGTTCCTACGCAGTGCAGTCCCAGCTCTGCACCCCACCTCGCTGCTGCTCCTCTCCCTCTGTTGCACATCCACGTCCCTGTCGTTCCTGCAATGCTGGGGTTTGGCCTCTGAATTTCCCTCCTCCATCTCCCAAGCCCCACTTTACTGCAACTCCCCAAAGGCTTTGCTGTGAGTCCCAGCAATTCCTGTGCCTCTGCCCGAGGTCAGAGCACACAGAGATGCACACAGAGATGCCCCCACCCCTTCCTCCCCCCCTCCCCATTTCCCTGTTCCTGCAGCAGCAAGCAGAGACCGAGCAAAAACTGCCCTCCAATTAACACCGAGTGCATCCAAGGAGCTTCCAATGCAGCGATGCAGTGGGAAAATAATGGGCAACGATGGGGGGAGGGATCTGCAAAGCTGCAGTGCAATGATGGGAACAGTGCTGGGTGCCGGGTCAGTGCTGTGGGGTGGGATGTGGGCAGTGGGCTGCACGCGAGGCATTGCATTCACAGCACCGACTGCTGCTGCATTTTGCAGCAGCTTTGCCCCCAGCAGGGAGCAGCTCGGGGTGGGGGGCAGCCGTGGGCAGCAGGGGTTGGAAGGGGGGGAGGTGTGTCACCACCCGACGGGACAAAATCAGCTCCATCAGTGGACAGAGGGAGAAGCTTTACATGCTGCGTGCACCCAAAGCTCCCAGCATCGCTGGTTGGCATCAGGGGGTGACGGGGGGGGGGAGGAATGAGGGGGGTTCGCTGAGCTGCCATGGGGCAGCGCTGCTCCCGGAGGATCGGGGCTTTGCTGGGCCGGCAGCGACACTCGCTGGAGGCGGACAGCAGAGCTGCACCCTGCCCTGCTGCAACCTGAGCGTTGCACCCTGAATGCTGCAACCTGTCTGCTGCATCCTGCCCTGCTGCAACCCCAGCGCTGCAACCCCAGCGCTGCAACCAGCCCTGCCGCAAAGCTGCCCCACAGCTCCATCGCAAACCCACGGAAGCCCCTCCCAGAGCTTCTTGGGGAGATGGAGGGCAGCGATTAACAAGGCTGCAATGGAAAGGAACGCATCACGAGGGAAATTTTGCACGGAGGAGTTGGGAGGAGAGGGGGAACAGCAGCAGCAGATGGAGGATCCGAATGGGGCACAGCACCCCGCCCCCCAACCACACAGCCTTCCCACCCCAAACCCCACAGTCCCCCAGCACCCTGACTGAACCCCAAATCCCAACCCCCAATTCCCCTTAACCCCAAACCCCACAACCCCTCCACAAGCCCCACTTCAAACCCAACTTCCCCCCACCCCAATTTCCATCCCCTTCCCCCCAAACCTCACCCACGCAGGGGGCGTGGCCTAGGATAGATTGGGGGCGTGGCTTCACACAGGGGTGTGGTCTGGCAATGTGGTGTGGGCGGGACCTCGTGCAGGGCGCGCCCTGACTCCGCGGCGGGGGCGTGGCCTAGTACGTATTGGGGCGTGGCCTATCGTAGGTGAGGGCGTGGCCTAATACAGGGGCGTGGTTTCCCACAGGGGGCGTGGCCTAGCATGGGTGAGGGGCGTGGTCTAACTCTGAGTGTTGAGCGATCTGACCCGGAAGTGGTGTGGTCTAAACCCCGGAAGGGGCGTGTTCTGACCCCGGTGGCGGGGGCGTGGTCTGCACGCCTGACGGACTACAGCTCCCGGCATGCCCTGCGCGCTGCCCGGTTTCCGTCGGGCCGGCCCTGGGGAGTGGCGGGGCTCAGCCGGCGGCGGGCAGCAGGTGAGGGCGGGCGGTGCTGGGCTCGCTGTGAGCCGGGCGAGGAGCGGGGAAGTGCGGGCTTGCGAGGCAGCCAGGCGCAGTGCGGGTCCGAGCTCCGTGCCCGGAGCCCGCCGCTCTCCTCCGCCCTCGGGGCCGCTCCGTTCCGCTCCCTCTCCCTCCCCTCCGCGTTCGGCTCTCGGTTCGCTTTGTCCTCCGGCTCCTCCCGTCCGTTCGGCCTCTGTGTGGGGCCGTGCTCCCCGAGCCGCTCCGTGTTGCTGTGCGCCCTTTGATTGACTCTGAATTGCCTCACGTTGTCGGTGAGACCCAAAGCTGCGGTTTTGCGGAGCTCGGATTTCTTTTTCAACGAGTGGGGAAGCAAAGAGGGGGGAAACAGGGCCGTTGGTGATGATGGGATTTTGGCGGTGCGCTGGTTTAATTTAGCGCTCAGCGTCTCCCCCCTCGTAATGCAGGGGATGAAAGCTGCCCTTTCCGTCACTGCTGGACGTGGCTGCACCCATCTGTCTGGAATTGAGGTGTGTGGGTGCCTTGCACCGGGGCTCTGCTGTCACTGCATCCTGGGGGCTCTGCTGGACGCTGAGCTGCCCTCCTGCACTGCCACGGAGCATCCTCTGCCCGGGCAGGGCTGTACCTGCGCTCACAGCTCCTGTTTCCATTGGGTTCTGCTGTGTTTGGTGTGTACTGAGATGGGTCTTTAGGTGGTGGTCAACAAAACCTGTTGGGGCTGGAAGCAAAGAGTGGTGGGAGCTGTGCTGGTGCTGCTGTCACATGCTGACAGCCATCGGGGTGGTCGTGGCCATGCAGGGATGCAGAAGGGCATTAACAATGTGAGGGTGCTGCTCTGCTGCTGCCCCAATTATCAGCCCCCCAGCTGCAGCCTCACATCCCTGATTGAATTTATTCCCTGGGAAGGGGTGGGAGGGCTGATGACCCCTACAGAGAGTGGATGATCGAGGGGATGCAGCACCTTCCCTATGAAAACAGGCTGGGGGAGCTGGGCTCGTTCAGCCTGGAGAAAAGAAGCTGCGGGGTGACCTCAGTGCAGCCTGCAGTACCTAAAGGGAGCCTAAAACAGGAGGGGAATCAACTCTTTGAAAGGGGGAATAACAGCAGGACAAGGGGAAATGGTTTGAATTGAGGGAGGGAAAATTGAGGTTGGATGTGAGGGGGAAGTTCTGTGCTAAGAGAGTGGTGAGGTGCTGGAACAGCTGCCCAGAGAGGCTGTGATGCCCCGTCCATCCCTGGAGGTGTTCAAGGCCGGGTTGGATGGGGCCCTGGGCAGCCTGGGCTGGTATTGAATGTGGAGGTTGGTGGCCCTGCATGCGGCAGGTGTTGGAGCTTCATCATCCTTGAGGTCCCTTCCAACCCAGTGACTCTGTGTTTCTGGGTCGGTTGTGTGAAAGGCAAAGCAGCTGTGGCAGAGGTAGGAAAGTGGAGGGCAGTCCAAACGGGTGCCTGGAGATAGGGTCTGCTTTTCCCAACCCATGGAAGGAGGAGAGAAAGCAAATTAACTCAGTGCTTCTGTGCTTGCAGCTTGCTGATGGCAGAGCAGCCAGGAGCTGCTGCACAGTGAAGTTCAGACCACGAACTGATGCACCACAGCCACTCTGGTGCAGCACTGCTGGTGGCAAAACGACAGAGCTGTGAGATTCCAGCTGCCTTTGTGCTGCAGGGACCAGGGAAAACAGTCATCAGTGAAAGGAGGGATGGGCTGAGTGCATTGCGAGGTTGCTCTGTGGCTGCTGGGATGTTAAGTGCAGTCCATCTGTTGCACGGTGTCACTTCCTGCTGGCCTGTTATTCCACCAGGGTTTGTTCCCCTGGCTGGTGCTTGCATGATGCCAGAGGAGGACTAATGAGAAGCTGAGTCGTTGTCCCTTAGATCTCTGATTAGAGGCAGGAGAGAAGTGGCACATCTGTGGGCTTCATCTGTTTGGCACTGAGAGCATCCTGCTCCAGGCTGAGCCAGGTCACAGGCTGCTTGATTTAACCTTGTGTTCCAAATCCATTTTGAACGTGCAGCCCCCTAATTATCAACCGAGAAAAAGCCGAAACCAACCCCAAAAGGCACTGATGAGATTGCAGGCTTCTTTAAAGGCCGTTTCTCAGCTCAGCTGCACCATCTCAGAGCAATCTCCACCTTTGGGGTGGGGCTGTCAGATGAGTGCTGTCAGGCTGTCTGGCCTTGTGCTGTTTTCCAGCAGTTCAGCCGATATCCATGGCTCGAGGCCATCTGATTTTTGGTTACCTGCTCAGCATGCAGTGATGGCTGACAGAGGGGCGACGTGGGGAAACTCACAGCTGCTCAGCGGGCCTGACTCCCAGCATCACCAGCAGTGGTTTTGGCTGCTGTTCTTGTTCCGTTTCGCTTGTCTTGTAAATACTGGGCTGTTTTCTTTTCTGATGATGGAGAGAGGTGCCTGGATTGGCAAACTGTGTGTGGCTGTGAGGTGGGGAGGGAGTGATGTGAGCGCGTGGGGTCAGGAAAGCAGGAGGAGGGAGTGCAGCACCTCCAGCACCCGATGCCTGTGGTTCCGTGGATCAGTGCTGCACACCTCAGCTATTCCTGCAAGGAGCTGCTGGCTGCGGGGCTGCTGCGTTTGTGGCA